GATGCACTAGACCAGCAATCATTAACCCATTTATTCATAATAGAAATCAAGGGTAGATGCTAAGTATATTTGTGTGTGTTTACCTATCTCTTGTTAGACATTTAACAATATAACCAGATTAGTTTGTAGATGCTAATTCCCTTTCTTGTCTTAATTGCCTTATATTATGCATGCAGATGGTTCAATTAACCTTAAGATCAAAGATATTGCAGGAAACTAAAAATATTATCTATACTGTCTTCAACTTAACTATCTATGCTATAATGAAGTACCGGTGAATTGCCTTACGTGAATGAATGCAACTAGTTTACCTGTGTATGCATAGGAAATAGAAGATTAGCTTCAAAGCAACAATCTGTACTGCCTATTCTTCCTTGGGGGAGGTTCTGCTGTGACAAGAGGCTTGTCAGACTGCTAGAGAATTATGAAGGAAGCTTTGGGCCTGATTCTTTTTATCTCTAGTCTGCTTAAACTTTGAATAGAGAAAGTATAAGTCATAAGATGGAGATCTTCCAAATAATGATTTGGAATAACCTGGAAAATGCATGGCAAGACTTGAACAGACTATGGATAGCCTAATGGACCTAATGGACTATATATGGATAGCCTAATGGACTATAACCCTTTAAATTGATTCCAGAAAGAATTTTACACATCAGCAGTCTCACCATCTCCGCTATGAAACTGACTTACGGACTTTACATACATTTGTATGTACATAGAACTTTTAACCATTTTCAACTCTCCTCTTTCTTTTTCCTTTTATAATTAAACTTTTAGTTTTTAGTTACTAAAGGATTGGCATCAGCATGAGTATTGGGTAAGATCCGATACTCACACTGACCTGGGGATAAGTGTCCAGGCCCTGGGGATTGGAGGACCTCACAATGGTGCATCGGGTTTTCAGTAACCTCTCACTATATCAGACTTGGCTGTCTAGATGGGAGTCAAGGGCTGGAATGTTTAAAGGGAACTGTATTTGGCTTCTTGATAACTGGTGTGATATTACAGAAGCTGTTTTATTACTGCCTTGGTAAATCTATCATAGAATAAATCACAGTTTTCGGGATTGTCCGCCCTATTCTTTGCAGTCTGCTCTGACTGTATCATTCTCAGTGTGGCCCATCCAGGCACCCATTCACATGGGGGTTCACTTTCCTTCCAAGCAACAGACCTTGACCACTATAGCAGATTACCCTTCTATACAGACCAATGATCTGACTCGCTTGAGCAACTGCTCTCTAATTCCAAGGTTTCTCTGAGCCTTAGCTTGGCTGTGCAGCCAAAATTCAGCAATCCTCTGCCTTTTACTGGTTCATGTTTCAAACTTAATACTGTTTTGATATTGTTTCCTATTAATACTTAGTTTTAATAATATTGGCATTTAATGTTTGTGATTATTTAGTTTGATATTTATTAAAACTAAGGCTGTTGCGCAGTTAAAAAAATTAATTGTGCGGTTAAAAAATCATGCACAGTTAAATAATAATAGAACACCTTTTATTTATATATTTTTGGAGCTTTTCTACATTTTCAAATATATTGATTTCAATTGCAACACAGAACTCAAAATGTACAGTGCTCACTTCATACTTATTTTTATAACATATTTGTACTATAAAAACCAAAAGAAATAGTATTTTTCAATTCACCTGATATAAGTACTGTAATATCATCTCTTTATCATGAAAGTTGAACTTACAAATGTAGAATTATGTACAAAAAATTTGCATTCAAAAATAAAACAATGTAAAACTTTAGCGCCTACAAGTCCACACAATCCTACTTTGTGTTCAGTCAGTCACTCAGACAAACAAGTTTGTTTACATTTGCAGGAGATAATGCTGCCCACTTCTTGTTTACAATGTTACCTGAAAGTGTGAACAGATGTTCACAAGGCACTGTTGTAGCTGGCATTGCAAGATATTTATGTGCCAGATGCGTTAAAGATTCATATGGCCCTTCATGCTTCAACCACCATGCTTCCATGCTAATGAAGGGTTCTGCTCTACAACGATTCAAAGCAGTGTGGACCAACGTATGTTCATTTTTATTATCATGAATCAGATGCCACCAGCAGAAGGTAGATTTTCTTTTTGGTTGTTTGGGTTCTGTAGTTTCCACATCGGAGTGTTGCTCTTTTAAGACTTCTCTGAAAGCATGCTCCACACCTCATCCCTCTCAGATTTTGGAAGGCACTTCAGATTCTTCAACCTTGGGTCCAGTGCTGTAGCTATCTTTAGAAATCTCACATTGGTACCTTCTTTGCATTTTGTCAAATCTGCAGTGAAAGTGTTCTTAAAACAAACATGTGTTGGGTCATCATCCGAGACTGCAATAACATGAAATATGTGGCAGAATGTGGGTAAAACGGAGCAGGAGACATACAATTCTTCCCCCAAGGAGTTCAGTCACAAATTTAATGAACATATTATTTTTTTAATGTGTGTCATCAGCATGGAAGCATCTCCTCTGGAATGGTGGCCGAAGCATGAAGTGGCATAAGAATGGTTAGCATACCTGCATGTATACCTTGCAATGCCGGCTACAAAAATGCCATGCGAACGCCTGTTCTCCCTTTCAGATGACATTGTAAATAAAAAGCCAGCAGCATTATCTCCCATAAATGTAAACAAACTTGTTTGTCTTAGTGACTGGCTGAACAAGTAGTAGGACTGGATGGCATTGTAGGCTCTAAAGTTTTACATTGTTTTGTTTTTGAGTGAAGTTACATAAGAAAAAAAATCTACGTTTGTAAATTGCATTTTCACAATAAAGAGATTGCACTACTGTACTTGTATGAGGTGAACTGAATACTAGTCCTTTTGTTTATCATTTTTACAGTGCAAATATTTGTAATAAAAATAATAATATAAAGTGAGCAGTGTACACTTTGTATTCTGTGTTGTAATTGAAATCAATATATTTGAAAATGTAGAAAAACATCCAAAAATATTTAATAAATTTCAATTGGTATTCTATTGTTTAACAGTGCGATTAAAACTGTGATTAATCATGATTAATTTTTTACTCCTGATTAATTTTGAGTTAATTGCATGAGTTAACAGCGATTAATCGACAGCCCCAATTAAAAGCTAAGGGCTCAGTTTCCTTCTGTGAATAGAAAGAACATTACTCCAAAAGTGGCTTACACTAGGCACCTGAGATGTTTAAATGTCATTCCATTACCCATTCGTTAGGATAGCAATGCGGGTGTGAATTAGACAAGATTTACCAGAGCTGTGGTTCTCTTTTTGCAAGTGTCTATACAAATCAGGTCACAGCCTGCCATGCACTTTTGCAATAAATACGTAAAAGGCAGGAGAGCACTAAATCACCTGCAGAAAGCAATTCAAGCAAAAAGTATCCTCCAGAATTTCTACAGTCCCCAGCCTTGTACGAATTTGAAGAAACTTAGGGTCCAGATTTTCAGATGTTGCAAATTAATGGAGCTACACTGATTTACAGCAAAAGAACTTTTAGCTCTAGGGCCCAGAGTCTCAAAAGGTATTTAAGCGCCTAACTTCCATTGATTTCAAGCGTTTAAATACCTTTTGAGGATCTGGGCCTAGGTGTCTACTGCCTGGGGAGATATTTGCAGTTCTTCCCATAGTTCTGACATTCTCTGTTTTGTGCATACATACAATATAACCGCATATCCCTCTTGGTGTTTTTAGGTGGATGACACCTTGGGAAACAACTAGAGGTTTGCTGAAGACCTAATCTTAGTGTGGGGGAGGAGGGAGACAAACTAAGAGTATTGCATGTTTCAGAGGTAGGCCAAGCACCCTGATTGCACCATAGGAAGGGGTCAGTTAACACAGGATCAGCCTGATCTGTACCCCATTCACTTATGGAGGATTCACATTTTCCAGAAAACTCTTCGAATTGTTGGTGGCCTTTGCCTCTGAAAATACAGGAGTAGGTTGGAGCTCTTCATCCCCAAAGCTGCCCTCTACATTTGCAACTCGGCTACATTGATCTTCTCAAAATATGCAAACAGGTTTGGTGTCCTAAGTTTTTTTTTTTTTGCTGATCTGGGCCAGGTTTGCCTTAGTCTCTCTGGCTATAGGTGCTCTTGTCTCCTGAAAGGATTCATAAACCAGCAAGGCTTTGGCTGGAAAGGAAGGAAAGTTCAACTTGCAGGCAAGGGAGGTCCCAACTGTTTGTGCATTCTTGCTGCTGTTTCTTCAAGTGAACTACTGAGCAGACGTTTACTTGTGTAGGCAGAGAATGAATGAAGCATCTGACCTAGGAAAACTGGAAAATTATGTTAACCCCTTTACACTTGCATTCTTTGGCTCTTAGGGGATCAATCACTTTTTTGGGCAGCTTTCAGATTCAGTGTTTTTTAAACAAGTATACACATAGCCTATGGCATGGTTCTCTACCTTGGAGCTGGTATGAATGTGTGGTCCAAATAATAGCACACTGGAATGGAAAGTTAGGAGTCCTAGCTCTGCCACACGTTGTATGACCTTGCATAAGTCATACTGTAACCCACACACCTTCTCGGTGGGGTGTTCTCTCCCATCTAGTGGCACTGAGACCACTTAGAAAAAGACATAAAATGAGTCTGCTCTACAGCCTTAGCTAACAGCCAGCCAGCTTTTAGCTCATGCGGTAAGAGACTCATGCACTAAGCTCCAGAGTTCCAAAGTTCGATCCCGCTGACCGGCGTCTGCCCGTGGACTGTGGGCATTACAATATTATGTCTGTATTCCTTATCCCCGTGTTACAGACGAGGAAGCTAATACTTACCTACCTTTGTAAAGTGTCTGATCTTTTCAGATGAAGCAAATAATACAAGAATTAAGCACTACCATTGGTTCTGCTGAAATCGGCAGATATGGGGAACTACAAAACCATATGCTGAGTGTAAATAAAAACCAACCAATCTGCAGTCTACAGAGAGCAGGTGCATTTCAAGTCCCTTCATTCTTTTACATATAAGTAACTTTACACAGAGTTTTACATATTTCAGAATAATTCCCACTATGCAATTTATTAATTGTCCTTTTTATTTGGCTTTAAAATATTAGGCTGAAATCCACTAAGGCAATAGTAAAATAATCCAAACTGTAACATACAAATCATCATATGATGAAACTACTAAATAAAATCAACAATGTGCTAGTAGCATGTACTATTAGTAGCATAGTATTATGTAATGTTGAATACACATAACAGGTATGACACTTTTGCAGAAGCGCCATCTTTACATTAGAAAAAATAGCACAAGAAGCAGTTGTGGTAACACATGGGATCTCAAGTTGCCAAATGTCAATTCAATTAACTATCAGAGTTTCTCCAATCAGTCAATATTCCAAGTTCTGGACTTTCTTCTTCAGTCTCAAATATTGAAGCCTCAGATGGATTTATGTGGAGCAATGAGGACATCTTGAGGCCAGTTAGAAAAATGCAAAGCTTTCAGTCCTCCTAGATAGGTAAGGATGTGTGGAAACAGTTACTTAGTTGGTGTAAATCCCCATAGACTTCAATGGAGCTGTAAGATATGGCCCAGATATGGCTTTGCTGTTCTGCAAAGCAAGTACAACCCTAACTAAAGTCAATAGGAATTGAATTTCTGAAATTCAGGCCATATTCCTTACCCTCTAAGTCAATTAAAGATAGTAAGACAATAATTAGTCACAAGAAAACTCATATTTGCCATACTTCCAACTCTATATTTATGACTGTACATTATTAGAGATTCCAGTCCTGGCTACTTACTTTCTTATAACAAAAAATAAGATCGGAAAAAGGTAGCATGACTTTTCTTTCCACTCCTGAATACCAGACCATAATGAAAATCAGCATTTCAATATACAGATTTGTAAAAAGATCAAAAATAATTCAAATAATGTGAAAGGAATAAAATGCAAATCTACACAAAAATTAAATTTTCACAGTGCATTACATTATCCACAAATTTCAAGTATTCTTTCCATACCGTACCTCTGAAAAATTAACTCAAGATCAAATCTCTACTACTTATTCTGTTTAAGATGCCTTTGTACATCCAAATTTCATATATTTTTCTATGCACTCTCAGTTAAAACTGGAGTCTTGGGTCCATTTGAAGAGCTTTCTGTTCCCTGAGTGCCATCTGCAGATTTGGAATCTTCACACGCTTCCATATTCATATTGGCTTCTGACTCCAGTGAGGTGATATCTATAGTAATCAAATTAGCTTCCTGATCTGTTTTTTCTACTTCATTGTCAATTTCAACTGTATCTTCCTGCTTGCTGTTTTTCTTTATTTGTCCATTCTGTGCAGGGTAGATGCTGCTAACAGTATCATACAGGAACTGGTATTGTTCCTAATTCAAAAAAGAAGGGATTAGTGTGGATGAAATGCCATGTGATTGAGCCAGGATGGCTGATTTTTTTTTTGTCTTAAGTGTTGACAATGTGAATCTTTCCATCTTACTGAAACATTCAGCGTAAGGTGGTCTCCATGGTTGCTGGCCCACAGGACGTTGAAGCACCTCCCTGCTATGCTCAATTCTGAGTCTATGGTGATACGGCACTGAGGGCATCCCTAATTCCTGGTAGATCAGGTACTAGGTCACTACTTATAATCACCTCATTCCCAAGGCAGTGTTGCAGAATCCATCCCTCTTGATTCACATGGCAAACTATCAAAAGTGTGTTTAAAAGAGAATCAAGCAGGTAGTGACTACTGTTCAGTTCTATAATAAACCACAGCAGAGTTAGCAAATCTAGATGATTTAGATGGATTGTCAGAGGGAAGAATGCATATTGCATGCAAGTAGGAAAGCAGCTCCTTCTGTGCACTCTTCAGAAAACAAGGAGGGCATTTTCTAACCTGCCTAAGGGAGTTAGGCATCCAACTCCCGTGGAATTCAGTGGAAGATGTGCTCCTAAATCCCTTAGGCAGCTGCCAAAGTTCCAGCCTAAAAAATTAATGGTTTACAAATAACATGTACTGTTGACCTTTTCAGCTTCAAGAAACTTATTATTACAGCTGAGGATAGGTTGCAGACTAGTTCCTTCTTATCACCAATAGCTAATTCACAACTGCTGATGAATAATTAGGGATAAGATAATGATAATACATGTTTCCTATGCAGAAACAATGCCAGGGGTTATTAGAACATTCATGACTAAAGATAAACAAATCTATTGTATTGTTTGGTTAACTCATAGGATTTACTTACAAAAGTGGGGACCATTCCTGGCCTCTCACGTCGAAGAGATTTCACTACTTGGAAGACATCTATCACATCTTCTGTTTCTGCACTTTCCAAGAGAGTCAACAAGGCGCAAAACACACCAGTTTGTTCAGATCCATCACTAGAAGATACACATTATTGGAATTCAAAAATCAGTACAATTTCTCACTAGCAGTTAGGTTTATTTTAAAGATTATTGTACTGACAACAGTCACAAAGATTCCTATCTCTGAAATATTTCTCATTGAAATGAGATTCTAGTAATCAAGAATACCGTTAGGATGCAAAGAGGACATCCAATTTTTACTGGGCTAGATTATACCTAGCCCTTATGTAGCCATTCAATTGGCGGGGGCATGGGTGGGGGGGTGTGTGGAGGGAAGGCAGCCTCTCCTCCCTTTTTGTAGCTGGGTAAGAATCAACCAGATTTAGGTCCTGCCCTTGGGGACTACAGGGCTACTATCATGATGGTCTCCCAGTGGTGCATGACGTTTACCAGTGGGTAAGGAGTAAGTGTAGCCATAACTCTTCCTTTCCCATCCCACCCTCAATATGCTCTCAGTGGCCAGAATTGCTTATTCGTCTTACAAGATGCGTAAACTGCCCCCCGGGTGCAACACAGAGCCCTGAAGAGGCATTGTGCCACTGTATTGGTGCTTCACGTCACTCCCAACTCAGGCCACATAAGACTTGGACCATATTGATGTTAACAGCTAGCCATGTGCGAGGTATAATGGCCAGCAAAGGAACCGGATCCATATGTACTTCCCTATGCTAGGTTTGGTGAAATTTACACCTCCCTGAACAAGGCTGGCCTTTCCCGCGGGTGGGTGCAGCCTTACAATCCACTGTGAGCTTCACAAGGACCCCTGCCAACAAAATGTTGGAAGAATGTGCTGAGCTGACCTTTCTCTGGCCATGGCTTTGTACCAGCCAGCACATCTACTTTTTAGATAGCTCTTGCCTTCTGCCCTGACCCATGTCTCAATGGAGGGGAGGTTGTGGCCACTTTGCAATGTTGCATGATACACAGGGTGAATGTTCTGCCATGGGAGCCCTCTGCTGGGAGAAGCTGGCATACACTGTAGGGTGAATTTAGTCTCCAGGCTTTAGGAAAGCTTAGGATCAAAGGTAAGAATTATGAAACTGCTATTGCCAAGTATAACCAAACCGTAGAAATGCACTAAAATATCTGTAGCATCCAGACCCACCGGCAGTGAATGACAATTGGAACGCTCCGGCTGTATCTGCTGTCCTCAGTGACGCTTTTAGCTGCAAGTTTTTGTTTGAGGTTCAGAATCATGGTGACTAAATCTTTGGGGTTTTCAGGAAGGTCCAAGCCATTCCACCTGTGGTACTGGTACATATACACATTTCGAGTTTCTTTCCTCTGCAAAACAGAGATAAACATAGAGTAAATTCAAGGGATAACATAATAATCCACATTATATTTATTCCATGTGAATTAAAAAAAAATCCTGATAATCACTTAGGACGAGACTGACTTGAACTACCCCTCTGCAGGGTGATAACATTGTGGGTACTCAGGCCTTATGCACCCACTACCATCCATTTAGGAGGTAGATTGGGCCTGGGTGGAGACTTGACTAAATTACCTCACAGTGTGTCATAATTTGCCGTGGGACCAGGCCAGCAATAAATTACTGTCTACTGGAGACAAAGAGGAGCAAGGTGGGTCTCTATCCCTCATTTTACTTATGTCTGACTTTGTAATTCAATGGTGACTGTAAGTCCCATTTTAATGACTATTAAAACATTTAAAGCAAGGAACTAATAAAACATCAGCTATCGAAACACAAACAGGTTTGTTCTTGTCTTTTGGTTGTTCCTTATTTTGTTTGCCCTTTACAAAAGACTATGTTTAAAATAGAAAAACAAATGTAAAATTCCCATCTGTCATTTTTTATCTTTTACCTTCACATGTGTTACATCAAATGCGCGTATGGTGTAGCTAGAAGACAGGTTGACATCTTTCATTTCAACTTCTATGCCTTCGTATCTTTGTTTTCCTTCTTCCCAATATTGTGCACAGAGTTGCTAGAAATGAAGAAATTATAAATCAGTCCTTATTTTCATCATTGCTTTTGGTTTTCTTTCCAAATCAATTTAAAGGATGCATATATTCTATAAATATTCAGTTTCATTGTATTATAAAATACATCATTGATAAACTTTTACGGTGTAATCATAAATTCATTTCAGCACAATTTAAAAAATAAGGATGGAATAAATCCTATTAGAAAACAAAATAGTTGATAGGTTGAGACACTTTCTGACAGTCACATTTTTGGTTTGGAAATTAGAATTTCATTGCAATTTAGAGATTGGAATTCTGTTCTTTTCTCCTATAAAGAGTATTGTATCATATACTTTACTTCAAAGATGACAAACTAACCTGATCTCCTTCGTTCAGCTCTGTCAACATAACAATTACTTTGACTTTTCTTTGAAAGATCATTTGCCAGAAGTCATTGATTGTTTCTGGTAGTGGCCCTTGCGTTGCAATCATTTCTTTTGGACCCCAGTAGCCCTAAAAAAGACCATTTGAACATGTGATTTATTTTTACTAATTCATCTGAAAGGCAGTTTTCATGTGTAAAGAAGTATTTACCATCTAAAGGGACTTCGGTAGCCTACGTGAAATGAGTTAATGGTCTCAGTATAGTTTCTAGAGGACAAGTACCCATTTCAAAAAAACATCATCACAATTGGCAATAGTTCATAGTGTCACCAGAAAGGACAAAAATTGGTGGGCACATGACTGACCCTCCATAACTAGCAGTCCTTTATCCAGGACGAAGTTGAGACACATTTATACAGCCACATGGGAAAGCTCAGACTGCCAATATCTGAGGCAGAATGCATTTTGGGATTAAAAAGAAGGTTTCGCGCTCCACCGTTGGTATTAGAAACTGGATATTGAGTGACGTCTCTTGCAACATCACAGAGTTGCTAAGCAAGTTAATGCAGACTGACGTATCTATTAGTAAACAGATATTTACAATCAGTAGATATGCTAACTGTATTTTTGTCTACAGAGTTCAGACAAATCCCATTCATTGCACAATCTTATAATCAGTTATATCTGCTAGTGTCCAACAATGGCCCTCCAAAGATAGTATCTTTTAGATGTGACAGTGACACTAAAAGCTTGCTTGTCAGTGCTGGCCTCTGTTTTCACTAGGCCAAATTTGTATCCACAAAAAACTGTATAAAACTGACTGTAAGGGAAATTAATATATATAACTACCTACGTGTACCTGGAATTCACATAGGTGGAGTCTACTCATAGATGTGCTGGCAAAAATATAGGTGGCCCTGAAAAGCCTAGCTGAAAGTCAGGTTTTAAAAGAAACTATAAAAGATAATTATTTTACCATCACTCTGTTTATTGCAACATTTACTAGACTTAGGGCTATTATGAATGAAGTATTTAACTCTTTGAGGCTGCATAGATTAGGACAGCGTAAGGTAAGAGCTCTGTCTTTCTCCCAGGGGACAGCCAATATTACAAGATCTTTGTGATTCAGTCTATAAATGAACATCCAAATAAAGTGCCAGATCTTGATTGTCTTACTCACATAATTAGTACCATGCTAATGAAGTCAGTAGGACTACTGGAGAGAGTAAGATGAGCAGAAATTGGCACATAGCTATTATCAGGGACTATCAGCAGAAAGCATATTAGACACAAGTAGTTTTATCCTCTAAATACATACAGTTATGAATGATGCATTTATGTATCTGCTTGCGTCCTCACAATCACTATCCTCATCAGATGATTCCTCTGAATCATGTTCACTCTCTTTGCTTTTCTCCTCCTCATGTTTAATTGGTACTCTGTTAAAGTCATCTGGAAAAAAGTGTCACAACAATAGTTTGTATTGGCAGGAAGAAAGCAACCATCTCCCTTCTTAGTTTTGTTACAATGGAAAGGGAATGTAGAAAAAGTGCAGTGATTCAGCAGTTATGCAATGGCATAGAGGCAGCAGACATGCCACAATGGTTGTTTGGGAAAAAAATCAAGGACTCCTCACAGTTTATATTGTAACAAATCATTCACTTCCTAAATTTTCTAGGGTGGAGTACATATCAATACGGTAATTTACTGTCCTGTTTTATTCGAAAGCCTTCATACAATTAGAACAAACTGACTGCAGACATCATCACAAACACTTACATGGAATCATTTTGGAATTCCGGTTTTTACTTTTATTTTCCTGTCGATTGCCAGTGTTCTGTGACCGCCATCCCCTGTACGATGGTAACCTCTAAGGAAAGAAAACATACAAGGTCACACCATGTGCTAAACAATGCTCTGCCAGCCTTATAAAATAGTGATACTCTCAGAGACCCATCTCCTCTCTTAATAGCTCAGTCCCTCACTGCTTCATTTCATTCCATGGAAGTGTCTGGACCACAGTTTATGAACCCTTGAACCTACCACATGCAGTACCACAAAAAACCATGCAGGTGGAAACAATTTTAAAAGATTGTGCTGCTGTATTTTATGAATAACGTTAACAAAAAGGGAATTAAACTGCTATTTCTTTAAGATATTTCACCACTTTAAAAGTTTTTCCAGGAATGCAAAGTTAATTTATTAAGCTAATTATGGTACTGCCAGAGTATATATGCCACAGAAAACACATCTGTTTAATGATCTACCAACTATGGTACCCACTCTTTGTGGTTGTCATAAGTAAACTGATTTTTTGTCAAATACATGGATCGCTAGTGGTAATTTGCACCTTCACATCCACATTGCCACAAAGACATTATTGCTACAAATAAATTGATAACCCTAGGTTCAATTATTTTAAAGCATTTTACATCTCTCTAAGATCTTGATCCTACAAGCTATTCTACTCAGGCAGTTGCTTGTTCTGCATCCATATGGAAAAGCTTTAATTTTATACACACTCCTGGTTCAGCCACAGGAAATTATATATTTGTTCATTATATTTTGTCTATAGTTTCTCATAAGGGAAAAGAAATAAAGTTATGGAACCCTAAGAGGAAGAACTGAAAAAAAGAAAAAGAATTACTATATGTTTTCAGTAAGATAAAAATAATTTTAAAATACAAAATATCAATTTACAATCAGAAAAACTGGAACAGGTAAAACTCAGTCTGAATACTCCATGGGGCCAGATTCTTGTAAAATGGCTTAGCTCAGCTGAAGACAATGTCACTATGCCCATTTAGACCAGATGAGTATCTGGCCCCATCCCTATTCCCCAGCAACCAAATACTGGATCTAATTCTGCCACCCTCACTTTGAGCAGTTCCTTAGTCTGTTGATTTCATTTAAAATCACCAATTTACTTGGCAGAATTTGGCTCTGAATTATTGGTTTATTTAAATTACTGCATGTCACTTTTTTGTTTAAAAGCAGAACAGAGAGTCGAATCAAACAGAATGCAGTATTATATTTACCTGGAACTCTGCTTCCAGCAGAGAGGGGTCACTGGGAGGATCTCTTTTCTTCAGATTATTAAGGTAGGTGTGCAGTTCAGAGACAGTGACCTCTGTTTCACCAAACTGATTGTATTCCACCAGTGCTTGATGGATCAGGATGTACTGTGTCTAGAGTTCCCCAATTTAAGGATGAGGTGGATTTCAAAAATTGAAAATAATAATTAGAAAGAAGAGATTTTTCAAATTGTTCTTACTATCTAAAACATATAATAATATTTATGTATTCTTATTACTGTTGCTATATTAAACTGGCAATAGATTCAGCTATTACTATGTCAATTAAACACAGCTGGCTGTGTTAGTGCAACATTTAGTGCTTTTGATCAAAGGTGCCATATAAATCAAATGTAACATAGCTCAGGTTGTACAGCTAAGAATTTGGGGTGGGGTTTTCCAGAACACTCGCCTAAGTTAGGAGCTCAAGACTCATCAGTCATTTTCAATGGAACTTGTGCTCCTAAGCACTTCTGAAAATCCCACACTAAAGAAAAAAAAAAGTGAATCTGCGTAGTTAACCCTGCCCCAAAATGTTCATATTTGGGTGACAAAAGATAATCGGCTCCTATATATTTTTGTCCCTTTTTTTTGGTTGCAATTCCAAATTAAAAAAAAATGGTTGAAATGTCAAAACTTGGGAAAATGCTGACCATCCATTCCTGCTTCATAGATGGTTTTCCTCCCTCTGTTCTTTCATAGTTTTATATTTCCCTGGACAGCTGCACTGGAAAATCATGGCCATCTTCCTTTTACCTAGGGTTGAGCTAGCTGGGCCCAGCTTTTCCTGAGGGAGATTAATAAATGAAACAAAGCAGCGAGCTCTAAAACATACCTCTACTTGAACCATGAGGCATCGCTGTCGACGGAGCTTTACAACATAGCCATAAACATCCACTCTGCCTTCTACCTCTAACCCCTCCAGCATAGCGTCGATTGCAATATAGGTTCCAGTACGTCCAACACCAGCACTGACAAGGACAAAGTGATTGAGAGAGGAGGATGAATGCCAGTCATGTTCTGCAAGGTGACGCAAAGCAGTGCAAAGAGTGTGGCTTATAATAAATTAATCCACAATTCAAAAGTCTGGTCAACTTACATTTTAAATATCTTTTAAATAAATAAGGACAATCTTTTCAAACTAAATAAGTGTCTGCTTTTTAAAAGTTGCAAGCATCCTCAGGTCCCATTGATCTGAAAAGGAGCGTAGGCTTTTATTACCTTTGAAAATCAGGCCTCTTATTTAGGACTGTAAGTATGGAATTGCATGCCTTACTTTAAAGCAACCAACTTTGAAAATTTTGGTCTAATCAACTATTGTTAACCTTCCCTGACTTGTTTTTCTGGGTAGCTCTTGCTGGCATTTGTTTACTATTAGAGAGTTTCTGTAATATTTACCTGCAATGAATCACTACTGGGCCACTAAAAAAGTTGCTTAAAGCATTAACTCTGCGGCGTAATTTGAGGAGAAGATGAGGATCTTCAGGCACTCCATGGTCTGGCCAGCTAGTGAACTGAATGTGAGTCACATCTCTCCCAGGTGTCTTCTCCTTTCTCTGGACAGGGTGGGATTGTTTCATTAGTACCACATCAAAATCAAATGTAAATATACAAAGTATAGAATAAAGCAGAAAAATAGGTACAGTAGGCATCTAGTATTGCAACAGCGATTCCAGACACTGTACAGTCACATGTTCTTTCTAAGGTTTCAAAAGTTGGAACATGTTCCAATTTTAATAACAAAAAAAATTTGTTAAAATAAGAGCTGTACATGTGGAACATGCCATAACTTGGAGAAAGAATATGACAATCCACTTTAAGGTTAAGTCCAATATTATCATCATAAGAATACTCTGTTTTGTGATTATGTGGACTGTACCACGTATTCTCCACTGCACTTGTAAATCATTTAGGAAGTCACCATACAGGTCTATGTGCTGCCAAGTGTATTTGTTGGTTATTTTGGTTATCTGTACTTTTAACTACCTGCCAAGGTCACACAGACCCACAGAGGAATGAAGGAAGTGTAAAAACAGCAACTCAGAATAGAAGTGGGGCTGTCAAACCTGTGACAATCACTGAGGTGGCTCATTATTTCTAAGTCACTGTATTCAATGCTTAAAGCATACCAGGTCCCTTAGGGTCACACACCCTGCTTTATTATGATGTTGCCAGAACCAGGCAGGGAGAAGGGAAAATACATTTTGGTAGCTGAGGAACTATGACTGTGAATCCAAATAAGAAAAGAAATTATAATGGGGTGCACTTGGCCATTGACTACATGATGGAGATGAATCACAAGGCCTAAACAACAATATACATCTTGACTGTTTCCATTCTCTTGTTGTGAATGGAGAGTTGGGGATAGAGATCTAACTGGAGAAGAACAATAAAACCTGTATGATTGTCTCTCAAGAAGCATTCTGCAGTCAGCAGACTATACCATCATTGTGGCAGTCTGAATATACCATGGGACATGTTCTCACCTTGTGCTTAGTTAGATATTAACCTGAAGCCATGCGTGTTTAGGATGTAATATACTGAAATTGAATTATCTCACCCAGGCAAAGTGCTGGGATGCGACCACTGATTCATAACTGTATGCTAATCTTACACTCAAGCAATACCCTGCACTGTGACTAGCTGATGTTTGATTTAGATAATGACCATCTGCTTATTCCCCAATAACTATTCAGCAGGTGAATCTCCAAATAGGGTTGCCACTTTTGGTTGGCTGTATTCCTGGACGTGACATAATCTTGAATTCCTGGAGATTCCAGGACAATCCTGGAGGGCTGGCAACCCTAGGGCAACTGACTGAGAGCCCCAGGTAGCCAATCAGAGCATAGAGTTTGCAAAATTATTGTACAGTTGCTCCTATTAGATTACGAGCTTTAATAATGTGGGTTTGGAAGTTTCATAAGGGTGTCTGAGTTGATGGTTTCCCCCCCATTCTTAGCCTACATAAAAATCAACTGATATTTTACAATACTTTGAATGATCAGCTGTGACAGCAGTCACAATGTATTTAATTTTAATTTTTTTGTTCATATGATCTTACAGACAAGCAAACAAGCACCAAACAAACTGATACATAAAAAAAAATTCACATTACTTCTGACCTGCAACACTCTAGCTATTGTAATTTGGAGTCTCTCCTATGCATGATGCCACAGAGTTTTAACAACACTTAAATCTTAAGGGGCTGGGTATGGCCACCTTACTCACAGTAAGTGGTAACTATCTTAAGCTTAGTGGGACTAGTCCCAGAGTAAGCTTCTACTCGATGTGAGGAAAGGTAGCAGAACTGGGGCCTAAAGATGCAAACATGGGAGCAAGATGGGTCTGGGCGGGTGCTATACTATTTATTTTTCAAGATGACCTGAACCTCCAGCACATTTTTCCTTAAATCTAACACAATAAAGAATAAATGGTGCCCTGACTAACACATATCCCATGGAAATAAAGTTGCAAGGAATAAAGGGGCAAAATTTATCCCTAAAGGGTAAATTCTGCACTCAGTTAGAGTTTAGCAACTAGTTGTGTTTCACTGGTATAACTGAGATTGGTAATTGGCCTACAAATCTTGAAAACCCCATATTGACCACGGATAGCTCTACAACACAGTTTATAAATACAACAATAAATACGGTTACCGTAAACTGTAATTGTTCCGCAGTAAAGTTCAGACAAGGATAGGCAATACAGTTCTAAGAGCCACATTTCTGAGTGAATTTACTAGGGGAAAATAATATTGAATGTGGTGGTCTCAGTGTTAATTTAAACATATATTATTCTATGTTCATAAACCAATAACAAGTTTTCTTAATTTAAAAAATATCTGACAAAACTACAGTATATTGCATACAATTTATCCAGCCTTGTCAGTAGGCTTATAGAACAGAAAGTTACTGGTGTTCCTGTTGAGAGTACAGTGCCCACAGTAATGAGGTAAATCCTAGTGATGAGATAAGTTTCCAATTCATATTTGCCCTATGAAATTACACACCATCTACTAGGTGTTCTCTCAAGCTCTATGTTGCTTGGTAAAAACGGGGAAATGGTAACTGTCACTGTTGTTCTGGAAGAATCTCTGATAACAGTCTCTTTATACCAACTATACAGACCAATTCAAATTATTCTCACATTAAAAAGCCAACTCACATTTGTAATATGCAGTTTCTGAATAATGTAGTCAGGACATATTTTACTTTCATTGCTCTTCACAACAGTGTCCCCAAAAGTTGCAGTGCTATTTTCTGTGGTCGGCCAGTATTGGGCACATTTGTTCTATGAAAATACAAAATTAACTCATTAGAAGTATGATATCAATATGACAGTGAAATTAGGTTCTGAAGAAAACTTGAAATAAAATAAAATCAACACCAGATAAAATGCATAACCAATACTTCAGTACAATTTCAGTTTCCAATAAATACTGTAGTTAATCCCTTAAAGAGATTACCACTGCTTTAGTTAAACATTCAAAAAAACCCAAAGATCCAGATTCTGGCCTCATGCACTGAGCCTGAAGGTTCTGCCCATGGGATTTACATAGAGAACAAGATGGGAAGAAATCCTATCCTCCAACCAAACTGCAGGGACAAAACAGCTGCACAGTCCATGCACAGTCATTGTCACTGCCTGAAGGCTACAGTAAAGATTGCAGCTCACTCTGTGACTCCTACTTATATTTCTAGTCAGTGAATATACATAGCTGCAGATGCAATAGTCATGTCCCAGCCCCTCACAATTCATGCCCAAATTCCCCTCCACTCCTGTTAGCAGTGTGGCTATACTGCAAACATGTCCATTGCCAGCCAGCTCTTCTCCTTAAAACAATCAGAATATCAATACTCTCATCTGCATCTGAAACAGGTGGCCCTACCAAGGTGGTGAGCACTCTCCTAATCGCTGCTTCCAAGTTTGGTTTCAGAAGTAGGAAAGGGAGGACACAAGACAAACTGGCAGAGAACTGTGGAGGCATTGCCAAGACATTAGGACAGAATGCTGGGGGGAGAGGAGGAAAGTCCCAAATACAAAATATCCCCTCTTTCACTGAGAGTTGTGACAGGTCTGCAAGGATGCGGGGGAGGGAGAGAGATTTTAGTGCAGCTCAACAAATTCTAACTCAGGGAGTTTCGGGGCAAGTTATACCCTCCTATGGGTTTATCTGCAAGAAGGCGGAATGTAGTTCCCTATTCCTTAGGGCAGTGCGTCAGATGATATTATTGAGAATGCTGCTGATCAAATAGTCTAAAAGGCAGAACCATGTAGGCTTGTTAATGTTATTCAATTTCTGAGATTCTATACAAATAGAGAGTAAAAACAAGAATGAACAAGGATTCAAAAGAAATACTTGATGCAGAGAAAACATTTAAAGGAAAAAAGAAAAGCATAATTCACCACAGAAAAGCAACCTCCTGTATACCGCAGCTAAAGGATTAATGTGTGTGTGCGTGCGTGTATTTGTACATATATATATATTATATATGTCACCCTCACCCTATTATTTTCTTCACAGCGAGTCACCATAACAATAATTGTTGCCTTCTGTTCCCAGATCATTCTCCAGAAATCATCAGTGGTCTCATCCTTGGGGCCTAGCAGATAAGGTATTTGATAAGAGATCCCTTCCCAAAAATTAGGAAAAACAGAGAAAGACTAGAACATAGTTACAATACCTATTATGGCTCAGAAACCATCCAAAGGTCATGCAATACTAGCCATAGACTGAATGACTTAATTACGATTCCACCATCTTAGTCTACATAATTTTAAAACTTTATTAGTGTGTGGCTGAGAAGGGCAAAAATTCTCCAGTGTGAAAATAAAGCAAATACTTATAGCCAATATTTTGCACTCCTCAAATTCCCTACTTTGGTTGGTCATAACTCCCCAAACCCAAACAGTCTAGCACTGCTTTATTTATTAAATTCCACATTTGCTGGCAATCCCATTTTGTTTAAATATATTAATACTGTTTGACTCCACCACTTTGATTACAGGATAATTGGGTGAAGAATGAAATAAAAAATAAAGTAAAAATTTACCTTGTGCAGCAATGTACTTCCTTGGTTCTTTGAAACCCTGTTTTAAAAAAATACATCATTACTAAGCATTTAAAGATAGGAGATGAAGATTGTGAAAAGATTTGTCACTTCAGAAATTTACGTATTTAACATGCACAATAATATGGACAACAATCCAAGAGTACCAAACACAGCATAAAGATAGAACTAAAGAAGTGGAAACGATCAGTTCTAGAAGAGTCAATCAAATGCATTTGGTGCCTGAAATGGGACACGTATGAACCATTTTTCGTTTGTGCATCAAAAATTTTACTGAGAGAAGTCACTTACGTCAATATGGCTTGCATTTATATAGTCTGATCCTGGGTCTCCGTTTATCTCTGAGAGTTCAACTCGGTTATAATCATCTATTTAGATAATTTAAAACAAAGTAATGGAATAATTAACCAAGTTGCCTCAATATACTGATATAAGCGAAAACAATGAAGTATTTACACAACGTATGGAATTTGCATTCAGTACTTACAAGGGAGAATGTCAATGTAACGGTTTTTGTTTTGGTTGTAGTTTTTGCGTGCTTCCTTTATTGAGAACTTAGAGAAAACTCTGGGAATGCTCTGTAAAACATAATGCTTCTTTTATTCATAAAACACATTTTAGATAACTTCAACTAGCAACAAAATTCACATACTTGTTAATTAATTCTTAATGACAGTTGGAAGATAACATACTGTTATTCACAATATTATGATTGATACTGATTAGCTTTTTGAACAAATATTAAGTTATATAAAGATTAATATATTTTCCATATAATCAAAAGATGCTTCTCTCTCTCTCTCAAAAGACTAATGAAGAAGCTCCACGCTGGATTCTAGTCTGAACAGGAATTAATAAAACTGCTTTGAAATGCAGCATCAAGGGGCCCTGGTCCTTGACTCTGGCTCCTATAAACTACCACAAAACAAATAATAATAACAACAACACACTTCTAAATTCAACTCATAAAAGTAAAATCTTTAGAAACTGAGGAATTCTAAAGCCCACAGCAGCTGTGACCACCTTGTGTCTACACTTTGCGCTGGGGGTGTAATTCCGAGCTTGAGAAAACATACCAGTGCTAGCTCTGATCAAGATAGCGCACTAAAGATAGAATGTAGCCATGGCATTACACACGGCTAGATGTCCTGAATACATACCCATCTGAGATGGCAGGCATATACTGGCTTTGCCTGATTCATAGCCAGGTCTCTCAGATAAGTGCCTTATCCACTAGCCTGTTGGCTATTCTGAGATGGGGGTGAGGGGTTCTTAATCTTAGATGTTTTGTAAGACACAACAAAAGGAGTTGGTTATTGAATGTGACAGATTCTTTTTAATGGTATGTTGCATAATATCTGATTTGGGATTTGTTATATTTCTGACTAGGCACAAACCTGAAATTCATCAAGGAAAAGTCTTCCTTCATCAGCAATCTTTCTCTTGTAGGTTTCCAACAACATTTCTGAAGGAATTGGCTCTACATTCATCAGTTGCTTTTCATCATCTTTAAACATAGAGACATATATTTTATATTTATTTGTAATGGTTTTAAAAATGTACTTAAAATCTCAGTAAATACATTTATTAAACAGTAAGATTAGCTAATGAGAACAGAAATATTCAATCAAACTAAGCCATATATGTTTATAGCAGCAAGTCCCACCCCTTCATATATGAGTAAACAGAGCCCCCAAAGCAACTGAACTTCTCCAGCGGGGGACAGATCAAAGAAACACTGCACACAGGGACTGTGTCCATTTCTGGGCACTGCACTTTAGGAAAGATGTGGAAAAATTGGAGACAGTCCAGAGGAGAACAACAAAAATAATAAAAGATCTAGACAGTCTGATCTATGAGGAAAAGTTAAAAAACTGGGTAGATTTAGTCTTGAAATAAGAAGATGGAGGGGAGACCTGATAATAGTCTTCAAATATAGTAAGGACTGTTATAAAGAGGACTGTGATCAATTTTTCTTCATGTCCACTGAAGGTAGGACAAGAAGTAATGGGCTTAATCTGCAGCAAGGGATATTGAGGTTAGATACTAGGAAACACTTTCTAACTATAAGAGTAGTTAAACTCTGAAATAGGCTTCCAAGGGAGTCTCTGGAATCCCCATCAATGGAAGTTTTAAAAAGCAGGTTGGGCAAACATCTGTCAGGGATGGTCTAGCTTTACTTGGTCCTGCCACGGTGCAGGGGGCTGAACTTGATGATTTCCTGAGGTCACTCTCAGCCCTATATTTCTATTATTCTAAGACTTCTGCACCTCCTGTGTACAGAAAAGCAGCATGCTGAGTGCACAGAGGTGACTTGGGAAAGTGGTGAGTGTGGCCAGTAAGGCCAAAGCAACATCTGAACCTGGCACAAGACACTTCAACCCAAACAGGGACAATAGTTATATTGTGCTGCCACTTACATTTGAGTAATAATTAACCATTTGTTAGCTGTAATAAATTATATTACTGTGTTATGCACAGTAACAGTAACCATTACACTAATGTCAGAAACTAATGTGAAAATAGTTCTAAGTCTTCCCTGAGTTATTATTATTAATTACAATGTTAAGTCCTTGTGCATTTTGATTCCAATTTAAATTAAATGTTTTTGCTATTCCATACAGAAACAGGACAAATGGATGTAATTGTGAAAGTGCTGTCTTCCAATTAGTATAATTAATTTTATAACCAGAAATAAGTTTATATTCTTTCAATATGTCCATAGAAAATTGGATTCTGGTTTCTTTTAAATCAATAATAAAATAATATCAGCTGCACAGAAAACAGCAAAATGCGTACAATGGGAATTTCTTCATATTATTGCTTCTCTTTGAGAAATTATTCAGGGTGCTAGATCTGAAGGAAACAGGAAGAGCAAGGAGGGTGAAAAAATGGGCAACCTTGTCAAGTTACCCTTTGTAAATTAAAAAATGGAATTCATGCAAGAAATTTTCCCAAATTTATTACAGATAATCCCAGTCAACACAGTCAAACTACTTTTCACCATGTAATGAGAACAGCTTCCCATACTAAATGGAGCAATCTCCTGACATATTTGTTTTTAAACTCTTTGACCCTGGTATAAAAATTATTTGTTCCCAGTGAATTAATTTGGGATTAGTTGGTACTGTCTGCCAAACCAATCACTGACTCTTCCTCTCCCATTTTTCAGAGGGATAAGGAATTTCTGGTAAGCTCAGGGTGTGCAAGGTACTAGGCATAGGGCATCCAGAAAGGCCTTTATAATTAAGCACAGATTTGAGGCACCTCTTGTTTATCTTCAATTCTTGGATCATGTAAAGGTCTACTTGGGGTGAGTTCACTTCAGAGATGAATCTCATGAGGTATTCTGAAGCCCCATTCTGTATTCTGTTATGGCCACTGTTTGAGATATAGTAATAGTTTTACTGTCAAGATAATAAATATTAGATTTTCCAAGTTTTCCCAATATTTAATAAAGTTACAAACATTCACTTAAATAACATGTATAGAATATTCACTAACCTCTACCTTTGGCCTGGGCAAGGTTTGATTGTGTTAATATCTAATTTGTCTAAATTAATTAGACTTTAGCCATAGACCTCTAAAATATAGATGGCTATGAGCTGGAATAAGACATTTGGCTAATATCTTATTTCCCTTACTAAACATATCTGATATGGAAAATGTACTTACCCCTCTTAACAAGCATCACATCTTCACCTGAATTGCTGTAAAAAGTATGAGTGTTTGTTAAGGCTTCGACTAATGCAATGTATGTATGACAATGAATTAAAGGATACAATTAATTAAATAAAGGTAGAGTTGTATAGGAATATGGGGAGTGGGGAGGAGTGCCGAGAGATCTTCAAACCAGGTAAAATTCCTTTTATGGCACTTTGTTACCCCTGGTGGTCCCAGGATCAGAGGAGGTAAAAGAGCAAATTATAACTACACTTGCCTCCCCCATCTTTAGCCAAGCTGAGCATGAGCTTGGCACAGCTGAGGACTGAGACCTCAGTTTTAGAACACTACTGCCATTTCATAAGTGGAGCTCTGGCCAGTGCTCTCTGATTTTCCATTAGGTATCTGAGATCAAACTTCTGCATGAAACCCCAGATCCCTTAACACTGTTCTGAAATCTTCTGTTTTAGCATAGATCTGGAAGAAAAGTCTGGATAGCACCTTGATCACGCTAAAAAAAAGCCACATTCAACCTAATGTAAGGGGACTGTTGCCCCCTTACTAACATTCAGTGGGGGTGTTTTAGTTACTAGCTCCCAGAACTAAAAAGAGGTTTCAGGACCCTGAGACTGACAGCCCCAGGAACAATGGGGAGAGGCCAATGCTCCAGGTCAGCCTGAATGACAGGGTGGGCAGGCTAATCGGGGAGTCAGGAGGCCAGGGATGTCCCGTCCTCTGTGTGAGCTGGAATTGCCTGCGTCAGACAGAGTGGGGCCGAGCTAAGGAGAAAGCAAGGGCCCGAGCTGAGCTGGGGTGCAGAGCTGTGCCAGATCCAGAGAGAGCAGACCCTGTCCTGGGAGCAGAGCTGCAGCCCAAAAGCCAGAGGCACAGCCCAGAGAGAGCAGACTTGCCCTGGGAGCAGAGCTGCAGCAACCAGAGCCAGAGGGGCCAGAAAAGCAGCCCAGGAAGCAGGTCAGTGCTGGGAGCAGAGTCACAGAAGCAGCTTGCAGAGCAGACCTGTCCTGGCAGCAGAGCTGTAGCAACCAGAGGCAGAGGGGCCAAAGAAGCAGCCCAGGGAGCTGGAGGCAGAGCAGCAGCACCAGTGCTGAGACAGAGTGGTGGAGATGGGGCTGGAGCAGTCTGGAGCTGGGTGTGGTGAGCAGCTGGGGAGAGCGAGGGGGACCTGGGCAGCGGGCCCAGCACAGGGAGACACCTCAGCCAAGAGGCTCTGCCTGCCAGGCTTGGATCATAACCCCGACAGGGCGGGGGCGACACTGGGAAAAAGGGTCCTACCACTTAGAGCCTGAGAGCATGTGGGCACCACCAGAGCAAGTGTCCAACCAACAGCATCCGTGCAGCACAGCCAGGGCCTGAGAAGAAGGCCTGGGACCTACGAGGAACAGACTGTGAACTGCCCTGACATTCCAGAGACACTGTTTGTGATGTTCCCTGCCACAAAGCAGAGTGATGTGTTTTCCTTTAACCTTTTCCATTTTTCCTTATTCTTTTTAAATTTAATTGTTGATTAAAAAACTTGCATTTGCTTTAACTTGTATGTAATGGTCAGTGGGGCAGGGAAGTGCCCAGTGCAGAGAGAGTACACCGGAGTGGGGACACCCTAGCCCCTGTCCTAGGTGACCACAGCAGGGTTGGGGGTCGAGCCCCCCAGGAATCCTGGGCCCAGCCTGGTTGGGGTTACGAGGACTCTGCCAAACAGGGGAGTGGAAGAGGAGTCCTCAAGGGCAGGGAGGCCACTGGATAAAGGAAGTGGGAGCGAGGACTCAGATCCTTTCACTAGCCCACTTCACTGGGGTAGTGCAGAAGCCAGGAACGTTCCCCACAATAGCAGGACTATTCCCCCGCTTACACTAATGTTCATATAAAAACAAAATATAAATGCTGGATATTTATTTCTCATGGTTTGGTGAGAATTCTGATTATAGAAAACCGTTATAGATTCATAGATATAAAGGCCAGAAGGGATTGTTAGATCATCTAGTCTGACCTCCTGTATAACAGGGGACATAGAATTGAATCCAGTTACTCCTATAGTGAGCTCAGTAACTCTGTTTAACCCCTCTGATATAGTGAGCTCAATAACTCGTGTTTGATGAATCCAGAGTTATTCATTTTTATTCAAGGGTATTCTAACAGAGTTAATGTGCTGGCTCGATGAGTTGCCTTCCTGACACAGGGAGAGAATGAAACTGTTCGTTCCAGCTGTACAAACAGCAGAATGGGGGCTGCCTTTGAGCACATTTGTGAATTATCGGACCAGCTCTTTGGTAACTTGAACAACATTAAAATCATAGATATTCTGTTCTCTTATATTAGATTCTTATATTGTGCTTGCTACAATGCAAGCCACCTAAAAATATCCATGATTTAGTTTTTCTTTGGTTTTTTAAGGCAGAGACATATCTTTTTCAAATATAAAAAAAAATAGCTAACCCATATATTTAAAACATCATCACTTTCTTTTATAAAACCTTCAAAAAGATTTTTCTACTTCTAAAAAAAGGAGATGGAGGAGGGAGAAACTTACCTTAATTTCTCTCTGTGGAGATCATAGATTTTATACAGAACAATAAGTAAGGCAATTGATGTCACAATAATCAAGAACGCCAGGAATATAATCAGGGCGTGAGAATTGTCTGTCAACAAAAATCATGGCGTGAATACATAATAAGTTATTTTTGAACAAACAATTAGAATTAGCATAGCAATTTTACTCATTTTATATTATATTTGTGTGTGTGTGTGCACATTCATTTAGAAGGGCTGGTTGGAATTTGAAATGTATTTGTGTGAAATATAATTTATTTTTTTGTTTTGTTTTATGAAAAAATTCTAAATAAAAATTCCTGCTGGCAAGAGGGGAGGGAGAATGGGAGAGGAGAGGGAAAATATCTGAAAAACAAAATACTTTTTTTCAAAATGAATTTTTTTCAAAACATGTTGACCAAATTGAAAAATTTCCATTAAAAACTTCATTTTTGTCCAACAGCTATTTTATATTGGGAAAAATTGTTACAATTTTTAAAAAAATGCTCAGCTCTAGTGTTTATGTGTCTGTCTAGTGTTTATGTGTCTTTCCCTGGACATATTCCCTATAACAGCTTGATGCTTTGCACTCCCAGAAGAGCATAAAGGAGCCTCAACAGAGCCAAGAATCTGGCCCTCTATCCTATTTCTCTGATAATGATTTCCTCTCAACAGCTCCAGCACTCCCCTGACCTGGTATGAATCCTACCCTCTTTAAAAACACACTTTTCATTTCTGAAAAGCATCTAATCTTCCACCTCCTTCACTCTGAAAGAAGAAAAGGAGTACTTGTGGCACCTAAGAGACTAACCAATTTATTTGAGCATGAGCTTTCGTGAGCTACAGCTCACTTCATCAGATGCATACCGTGGAAACTGCAGCAGACTTTATATATACACAGAGAATATGAAACAATACCTCCTCCCACCCCACTGTCCTGCTGGTAATAGCTTATCTAAAGTGATCGACAGGTGGGCCATTTCCAGCACAAATCCAGGTTTTCTCACCCTCCACCCCCCCACACAAATTCACTCTCCTGCTGGTGCTAGCCCATCCAAAGTGACAACTCTTTACATAATCAAGTCGGGCTATTTCCTGCATAAATCCAGGTTTTCTCACATCCCCCCACCCCCATACACACACAAACTCACTCTCCTGCTGGTAATAGCTCATCTAAACTGACAACTCTCCAAGTTTAAATCCAAGTTAAACCAGAACATCTGGGGGGGGGTAGGAAAAAACAAGAGGAAACAGGCTACCTTGCATAATGACTTAGCCACTCCCAGTCCCTATTTAAGCCTAAATTAATAGTATCCAATTTGCAAATGAATTCCAATTCAGCAGTTTCTCGCTGGAGTCTGGATTTGAAGTTTTTTTGTTTTAAGATAGCGACCTTCATGTCTGTGATTGCGTGACCAGAGAGATTGAAGTGTTCTCCGACTGGTTTATGAATGTTATAATTCTTGACATCTGATTTGTGTCCATTTATTCTTTTACGTAGAGACTGTCCAGTTTGACCAATGTACATGGCAGAGGGGCATTGCTGGCACATGATGGCATATATCACATTGGTAGATGTGCAGGTGAACGAGCCTCTGATAGTGTGGCTGATGTTATTAGGCCCTGTGATGGTGTCCCCTGAATAGATATGTGGGCACAATTGGCAACGGGCTTTGTTGCAAGGATAAGTTCCTGGGTTAGTGGTTCTGTTGTGTGGTATGTGGTTGTTGGTGAGTATTTGCTTCAGGTTGCGGGGCTGTCTGTAGGCAAGGACTGGCATGTCTCCCAAGACTTGTGAGAGTGTTGGGTCATCCTTTAGGATAGGTTGTAGATCCTTAATAATGCGTTGGAGGGGTTTTAGTTGGGGGCTGAAGGTGACCGCTAGTGGCGTTCTGTTATTTTCTTTGTTAGGCCTGTCCTGTAGTAGGTAACTTCTGGGAACTCTTCTGGCTCTATCAATCTGTTTCTTTACTTCTGCAGGTGGGTATTGTAGTAACCAAATAAATTGGTTAGTCTCTAAGGTGCCACAAGTACTCCTTTTCTTTTTGCGAATACAGACTAACACGGCTGTTCCTCTGAAACTCCTCCACTCTGTAATTCCCCATTGCGTTTCTTCTTTGGGATGTCCCATTGGGAATGTCAGTCTTTGCCATCATTTTCTTTGGATAGCATGCAACTTCGTATTTCTATTGACTGACCCTCTGATCCTCTTATTCCTATGTACCTGCCTGTCCCTTTTCTGTCAACTCTTGCCCATGTGTTCTACTGCTGAATGCTTCAAAGACAGTTAATAAGTGTGCTAAATACCATTTGGTGTAGATTTTGCTTCAGTCTGAACCTTTTCAGCCTGAACCATTTTATTGCCAGAGTGGATGCAGACTAGATTAAATGATTCAACTATTCCACTTGCTATTGTCTCACAGTGCACTGGTGGCAAGAATTGGGGGAAACGGAACATCTTGGATTACGATGGCTTGCCCAGAACTGTTTGCCTGGAGTTACGAAAGGCTTCATAAACAGAAACAAAGTTGATGAAGTGATGAACTGGTCTATAAATAACTGCCTGACATATCTGAAATTTGGAGTCAGACATCGATCGAGAGCTCTGAAAAAGAAGGTGTGTGTAACACCGGCTCCCCACACCTTGTGATTGGATTGAATTTCGACTGGCCACCGGGATTTCATTCCGACCTTTGGACTCTGGCATAGTATGAAAGGGGTGTGAATGTGGAGTGAGTGGGGTTTATATTGTAATCAATAAAAAGTATTTAGAGTATTATATACCAACACTGTGTCCGGTATCTGCCTGCTCCCCCATCCTGTAGGGAGACCTTTATCAGAGCCTAACATTTGGGGGAGAATTGTGAGTGGGGAGAGATATAAGGAGTGCTGGATTCTGAGACAGTGTTGGGGCAGTCTAAAGGGTGACTCCTTATTTGTGGGTTTTGAGAGATTAAAAGTACACTTGGGGAGATACTGCGTGGAGTTTTGGGAACATACTACATTAAGTATAAGTGAGCATACTATACATTAAGTATAAGTGAGAGCGTGCAGGGAGATACCGCGCGGGGTTTTGAGATAACGTTTAAAAAGAGTAAAGGGCTAGAGGCAGCTGTGATATGGTTGTTGTGGCAGGCTATGAAAAAGGTAATTGAATACAAGGAGGAGGCATGTGCAGGGCTACAGACCCTGCGAGAAAGTTTTAAAATCTGCTAGGAAAGTTTAGAGAAGGAAGTAAGACAAGCACAAGTAATGCAGACTCAGTTGGAACAGCTGGAAAAGAGAATTGATGGAATGGGGACACAGGCAAGGCTCTGCAGCTTCAGAGGTGGGAACAGAATATTGGGGAACAGACTCTGCCAGCGTGTAGAGCTATGAATATGTTTGCTTGGAATTAACCCCAATAAACATTGCATTGCCTGCACTAAGTTTGGTGCTACTCCAATAAAGGCAACTGGAGGACCGCAAATTAAAGTTAGGGGTGGTTAAAGATAACTTGGCACAACAGGGTTTGAAATCAGAAGCAAAGTTAATAGACCACCTTAAGAGACAGGTTCTGTGACTTGGTCGGAGTGAAGAAAATAAAAATAAAAAAGGTTTTGACGTGAAAAAGGGAGAATGGGTTAACCCCTGAAGTTGTTCAGAAATAATTAACTGCAGCAAGAATAGTACTTCTGCAATTCAACTGAGGTAAAAAAAAAAAAAAAAAGCACAGGGTAAGGCAGCTGTATTGCAACTTAAAGAATTGAATGAAGAAGTAAGTGATTTTAAAGTAAGGAAGAGTTACAAGTAGCTTTTGCATAAATTAGTGCGACAGACTTCGTAGGGAAGTAAACGCTTAGGAGTTGTGAAAATCTTAAAAAGTAACAGTTGTGGTATTATAAAAAGGGAATTCTTGGTTTAATAATAAAACCCAGTTATGTAAATATAAATATATGTGCAATGCGGTACAGTCACATTAAGCGGAACTGTGGTAGTTAAACAAATTATACAAGGGGGTCAGGTGGAGAGGCTACTGCTACCACTATGTGTTATCCCCAGAAGTCTTTACAACTATTCTGAGGGGAAATGGGTCCTTTTCCGACAGAAATAGTTTGTAATCAAAATCACTAGATATGTGTATGTATATATATATGGGTATGTATATGTATGGGTTTTTTATTGGAACTTGACTGCCTTCGATTATACAAAATTGAATGGAATCTGGGTACAGTATTATGAAAAAATAATTAGAGCAGTGCAAGGGATAGTAGGCAAAAAAAATAGAATTTGTGTGTGTAAATATTTTAGTGTAATTATGTAAGCTTTCAAGGACTAAACCAACACTTATGGTGTGTAAAATCCTGTTTGTAGGTTTAAGATAAATTGCCTTTGTTTTTAAATAAAAAAATAAATATGGTGGGAAAATGGTAAGAATTTAACATGGGAATATTTAAAACCAGAGGACTTGGAGAAGCAATTGAGGTATTTTTATGTTATAAAAGGTGAGAGCTGGTTGACATTTCAATTTAGTGATAATGAAAATAACTGAATATAAGCATCCTGAATTGCACTTTTTGGAATTTAGGATTTAATGTAACTACCCTGGATGTGATTTATGAAAAAGAATTGGCTAACATTCATGTGGGATGGAATGAGTCAGCAGCTCTCAAAATGTGGATGTATGATGCTATGGTAAATTCTTCCACAGTGGTGAAATTAAGCTGTTTCAGGAAAATCGATAGGGAAATATACTTTGGGGGATATGGTAGGTATTTTGTGTTTCTTAATCAAATACCAGTAAATAAAAGAATCATGGCAGATGAACATCCATATGGAAGGGGGGAAGTAATTGAAGCCCCAACTATTGTGGAACAAACGATCTGGCTGGAGGGGTCGCAATTAAATGTGGGTGCACAACTTCAGAGTGTATACCATATGCCTTGCCTCTATTACTAGCATGGCAACAACAATGGGGAGATGGAGCTAAAAGAAGTAAAAGAGGTACAGGAGAATATAGTGTGGGTGGCACTGGTGGTGAGGCTGGGGTCTTGACTTCATCTGATATTGAGACATCACAAGGGAAAATGTCTTGGGTGAGATTTTGGGAGCCATGCAGATGCATGTAATACAAAATTTTGGCACATTATCGGAGCAAGGAATAAGGAATGTAGTGCTCCAGTTAAAACAAATACAAGCCTTGGAAGCATCTTTAAATGCAAGTTTATTGAGTGTGTCATAAATTAATAAGAAGACTGTGTTAACAATATGATGTGTACAGATGCAAGCTTATGGGATACAGTATATATAGAAGATAGTCAATATACTGAGTAACAGGCAATGACCCTTTGAATGGTTCAAAGACTCCCATATATGGAAACAACAAATTATAGGAGGGAAGAAACACCTTGGGTTTAATCGGAATCAAACCACTCTAAAAGGGGATTTGAAGGGCAGGATGCTATCACATAACACTGGAAAAAAGAAAAGAATTGCAATGGCCTGGGTGCTGCTGAAGATTATTAATGGAGAATTATGGCAAATAGAAATAAGTGGAAGACATTTGATCCAGGAAGAGCAGGGCTATAAATTGGTGGAACTGATAAAACGTTGTGAGGCGAGGGGGAAAAATAAATTGGTGTGCCCACAGCTAACTTGGACTTTAGAGAGATGACATCTAAACCATTCAAACTGACAATATATAATACAATATTTAGCCCCTAATGGCACAAGAGTGTTTGATATAGGCAACGGGTGCATTTGTGTTGTGGCCACTGAAAAATATGTATTTTGGGGACATATGACAGAAAAAGGTCCAATTGACTCATGCAAATGTAATGTAACAGAGGTTATTATTGAAGGCACTGTTTATCTGGGACCCCTATTCTTAAAAAAGGAAATTGGTTGGGGACCAAACGATGTGGACTGGTCTTTTCATTTAGGGGTACATTGAGAACAGTGGGAGGAATTGGTTGATAAAAGTGAAAAAATAAAGCAATATGCAAAGGATGTATCTAAATCTGCCCAGTTAGGAAAGATAAGTATCTTATTGCATAATGGTCACATATTAAAATTAGGAAAAGAAGGAGAAGAATTGACAGTCCACCATTGGTACGATGTCTTTAAGGGATGGTCTCCCAGTGCCACGGCCCTCCCTGAATTTGGCATTGCATCCTATTGCTATATTGACAGGTTTCAGAGTAACAGCCGTGTTAGTCTGTATTCGCAAAAAGAAAAGGAGTACTTGTGGCACCTTAGAGACTAACCAATTTATTTGAGCATAAGCTTTCGTGAGCCACAGCTCACTTCATCGGATGCATGCTGTGGAAAATACAGAAGATGTTTTTATACACACAAACCATGAAAAAATGGGTGTTTATCACTACAAAAGGTTTTCTCTCCCCCCACCCCACTCTCCTGCTGGTAATAGCTTATCTAAAGTGATCACTCTCCTTACAATGTGTATGATAATCAAGGTGGGCCATTTCCAGCACAAATCCAGGGTTTAACAAGAACGTCTGAGGAACAGTGGGGAGGGGGGAAGGAATAAACAAGGGGAATAGATTACTTTTTATAATGAATCAACCATTCCCAGTCTCTATTCAAGCCTAAGTTAATTGTATCCAATTTGCAAATTAATTCCAATTCAGCAGTCTCTCGTTGGAGTCTGTTTTCGAAGTTTTTTTGTTGAAGGATAGTCACTTTGAGATCAGAAATCGAGTGACCAGAGAGATCAGAAATCAAGTGACCAGGGCATTGGCACCCTGACAGCAGGATTGTCTGGCTATGTAGACTCCCTCCTCAGGCCCTACGCTACCAGCACTCCCAGCTACCTTCGAGACACCACTGACTTTCTGAGGAAACTACAATCCATCGGTGATCTTCCTGGTAACACCATCCTGGCCACTATGGATGTAGAAGCCCTCTACACCAACATTCCACACAGAGATGGACTACAAGCCATCAAGAACACTATCCCCGATAATGTCACGGCTAACCTGGTGGCTGAACTTTGTGACTTTGTCCTTACCCATAACTATTTTACATTTGGGGACAATGTATACCTTCAAATCAGCGGCACTGCTATGGGTTCCCGCATGGCCCCACAGTATGCCACCATTTTTATGGCTGACTTAGAACAACGCTTCCTCAGCTTTCGTCCCCTAACACCCCTACTCTACTTGCGCTATATTGATGACACCTTCATCATCTGGACCCATGGAAAAGAAGCCCTTGAGGAATTCCACCATGATTTCAACAATTTCCATCCCACCATCAACCTCAGCCTGGACCAGTCCACACAAGAGATCCACTTCCTGGACACTACAGTGCTAATAAACGATGGTCACATAAACACCACCCTATACCGGAAACCTACTGACCGCTATTCCTACCTACAAGCCTCCAGCTTTCACCCTGACCACACCACATGATCCATTTTCTACAGCCAAGCTCTGCGATATAACCGCATTTGCTCCAACCCCTCAGACAGAGACAAACACCTACAAGATCTCTATCAAGCATTCTTACAACTACAATACCCACCTGCGGAAGTGAAGAAACAGATTGATACAGCCAGAAGAGTTCCCAGAAGTCACCTACTACAGGACAGGCCTAACAAAGAAAATAACAGAACGCCACTAGCCGTCACCTTCAGCCCCCAACTAAAACCTCTCCAACGCATTATCAAGGATCTACAACCTATCCTGAAGGATGACCCAACACTCTCCCTCAAATCTTGGGAGACAGGCCAGTCCTTGCCTACAGACAGCCCCTCAACCTGAAGCGAATACTCACCAGCAACCACATACCACACAACAGAACCACTAACCCAGGAACCTATCCTTGCAACAAAGCCCGTTGCCAACTGTGCCCACATATCTATTCAGGGGACACCATCACAGGGCCTAATAACATCAGCCACACTATCAGAGGCTTGTTCACCTGCACATCTACCAATGTGATATATGCCATTATGTGCCAGCAATGCCCCTCTGCCGTGTACATTGGTCAAACTGGACAGTCTCTACGTAAAAGAATAAATGGACACAAATCAGATGTCAAGAATTATAACATTCATAAACCAGTCGGAGAACACTTCAATCTCTCTGGTCACTCGATTTCTGATCTCAAAGTGACTATCCTTCAACAAAAAAACTTTGAAAACAGACTCCAACGAGAGACTGCTGAATTGGAATTAATTTGCAAAGTGGATACAATTAACTTAGGCTTGAATAGAGACTGGGAATGGTTGATTCATTATAAAAAGTAACCTATTCCCCTTGTTTATTCCTTCCCCACCCCCACCCCCACTGTTCCTCAGACGTTCTTGTTAAACCCTGGATTTGTGCTGGAAATGGCCCACCTTGATTATCATACACATTGTAAGGAGAGTGATCACTTTAGATAAGCTATTACCAGCAGGAGAGTGGGGTGGGGGGAGAGAAAACCTTTTGTAGTGATAAACACCCATTTTTTCATGGTTTGTGTGTATAAAAACATCTTCTGTATTTTCCACAGCATGCATCCGATGAAGTGAGCTGTGGCTCACGAAAGCTTATGCTCAAATAAATTGGTTAGTCTCTAAGGTGCCACAAGTACTCCTTTTCTTATTGCTATATTGTTCATGTTAATTATTCTATTAATCTTTGTCATGCTGTGTTTGTCAAATAAGAAAATGACAAGGAGTTTTGGAATGGGTAATATATAAAGCTGAGCTGCTTGCAAAATCATAAAAGTGATACAATAATCAATGTTATTAATCATGTATCAAAAGGGGGACTGTTGAGATGTATATGTTTTAATATGCTATAGGCCATATGGGCCTAGTATAAATGCTGTATGTTTGACATGAGTACGTGATTTGCATACTGGCAGCTGAAGCAAGTATTTAAGGTTATGAGTGGTCAAGAACTGTCTGTGCAAAACCAACTTTTATGTTCCTGGGGAATATGAAGAATTAGCAGGGAAGGGAATAACACCAGCTGTGCAGTTATGCAAAAACTGGGGGAAATGGAATGTCTTGGATTATTGTGGCTTGCCCAGAACTGTTTGCCTGGAGTTATGGGTGAAAGGACTTCGTAAATAGAAACAAAGTTGATGAAGCGATGAACTGGTCTATAAATAACTGCCTGACAGATCTGAAATTTGGAGTCAGACATCAATCCAGAGCTCTGAAAAAGAAGAGGTGTGTAACGCCATCTTCCCACACCTTGTGATCGGACTGAATTTCGACTGGCCTTCAGGGATTTCATTCTGACCTTCAGACTCTGGTGTAGTATGAAAGGGGAGTGAGTGGGATTTATATTGTAATCAATAAAAAGTATTTAGAGTATTATATACCAACACTGTGTCTGGTATCTGCCTGCTCCCCCATCCCATAGGGAGATCTCTATCAGAGCCTAACAGAACTAGTCACCTAAATATTGTAATTATGACAACAGTAGAGTTTAAAAGGCACACTAACATTGTGTGCCATCTCAGTGACACTTGAACAAGTCTGTAAATAAAAACATTGACTAGTCCATTGAAAATATTTACTTACATTTTGTTGTTACTTTGTCTTTGACAGGATCCCCCTCATAATCTCCATTGTACATGTAAATCTGAGTTGCAATAAATGAAGACATTCATAAAAAATTTTGTACTAAGCAAAAGTTCTTCCACAAACTTAAAATATTGATTTCCAAGGAGCTATGCAGATTTACACTAGCTGAGGATCTATCCTCCAACCTTTTTCAGCTCTTAAACATGGCTACCACTAAAATGTGGCACTGTGTTGCAATATAAACTATTTTAAAAACTTTTTGCTGATATATCAATAGCATTTGCAGTACAAAATATCTAAAAAAATCCGTTAGAAATAACCAATCATAATAAGGGCACATTTTGTATGGATATATATTTTAATATGAAAGTAGATGTGCAATATATAATAAAACATTATAGTTTATTTGGTTTATTCAATAACTATAACAAGTATATTTTTATAAAAGGGATCATCATCTAATAAATAGTGTAATATTTTAATGCAGTTTTGTGTATACAAAAAGGACAAACTGTCAATTTGGAATCTCCAATTTGGAATCTGTTTGTGTGTTCTCAAAGAAAATTCCAAAAGTGAAACTTCCATACAGGATTCACTGTACCAAATTTTCTGCATATGCAAAACTTATCTCACATTTATACACCAAGTTAAAAAGCAATATGTGCATCTAATTTCAAATACTATATCTGTCTACATTTCCGTTTGTGTATGCATTTTCTGATTTTAAGTCATTCTTGTGCAATATAATATTCTTAAAATGCAGCCTTTAATTTTGCAAAATATAATTCATTTTAACTAAATCTATAGCATCTTCTGACAGAGAATCTCAAAGCACTGTATAAACATTGTTTACAAATTTAAGATCACGACATCCCTAAGAATTAGACACCCAATCTTATATGGTGCTTAGGTTACTCAGAAACTACTGATGTCAATGGAAGTTCAGAGTGCTCAGCACCTTACAGCATAAGGCCCTAAGTAAGCATTTTTCCCATTTTACAAATAGAAAAAGTGAGTGACAGTGAGATTTAGTAATTTGCCTGGAGTCACAAAGTCTGTGGCAGAGCACAACAATTCAAAGAATAAGGTCCTAACTGATACTGGTGGCTGCTGAACATGAATGCAATCCCCTCTCTCCCTTCACACCTTGGCTCCTCACAGAATTTTCCATCTTGCAGGAAGTAGCACTCTGCCTTCTTGTGTTAGCATGCCTTGCATGTATTAGCAGGAGTGTTGTAAACAAGACATGAAAAGTAATTGTTCCACTGTACTCAGTTCTGATAAGGCCTCAGTTGGAGTTCTGTGTCCAGTTCTGGGAACCACCCTTCAGGAAAGATGTGGACAAATTGGAGAAAGTACAGTGGGGAGCTGTTTATGATTTATGATTAAAGGTCTAGAAAACATGGCCTCTAAGGAAAGATTGGTAAAATTGGGTTTGTTTAATCTGGAGAAGAGAAGACTGAGGGAGAATATGACAACAGTCTACAAGTACGTAAATGGTTGTTATAAAGTGGAGGGTAGTAAATTGTTCTCCTTAACCACTGAGGACAGGTCAAGATATAAAGAATTTAGAAATTGCAGCAAGGAAGATTTAGTTTGCACATTGGGAAAAATGTCCTAACTTCAAGGATAGTCAAGCACTGGAACAAATTATCAGGTGAGGTTGTGGAATCTCTGTCACTGGAGGTTTTTAAGAACAGGTTGGACAAACACCTGTCAGGCATGTTCAAGATAACATTTAGTCTTGCCTCAGTGCAGGGGACTAGAGTAGCTGCCTATTGAGGTCCCCTCCAGTTCTACATTTCTATGAATCTTCAGCTCAACAGCTGCTAGACAGGCTCTCTCATACGCTGGCTGGCTCTGTGCTAACTTGAAATGCTCTAGACTAGAAAGCCAAAACTGCAGTTAAATAGCCCCATGAGCTACTACAAGCAACAGTATTTTTTCACCTGATTTGAAGGGCCATGGTATTATTATGATAATACTATTCAAGATATTTAAAAGTTCTTTAGTAAATGAGAAAAACTGGGTCACCTTGAAGCTGACATCTATTCCACATATGTCCTAGACATGTATGAGGCATAGATGGAGGGTCCCACTTGGGCTATAGCCACCTGAGATTCATACATTAAGCACCAACTATTTTTCAATTTAAGATGTCCTTAAGGCTAACCCTGGCTTTCAGAGGAATAGTGGAAGCCACTGAGAGATAAGCAGCATCCTAGAGATTGCATGTGAGATAAACTCACACAAGAACTTGATTTAGAGACGATTAACGTTGCATCAGGACACACCCCACCAAGTCAAAACCTGAAAAGGGTAAAAGAGATTTTAAGAATCCTTGCTGCATCAACATACTTGATAAGTAAGTTCCCTTAGGAGACACCTTTCCTGAAAGGACTGCTATTTCTGCTTGTGCACCATGCAACTGAACATCACGTGGACTCTCTGGACTAAGGGTATGTTTACACTGCACACCAAGCCCAGGTTCTGACTCTGAGCCGAAGCCCCCCTTACAACCACATGTAAATCACTCTTACTTGGGTCAGCAAGCGCTCAGTACCTGGATCCAAGGACCCTGCTGAGGAGGTGGGTCAGAGCCTGAGTTGTGCTGTGACTTGGGGTCCAAACCATGTTATTTTGCAGGATGGATATAGCTCAAGCCACAGACCTGAGTCAGAAGGTCAGTATAGTGCAGTATGGACGTGTTAGCATGGTTGTAAGACCTGACTCCAACAATTACAGTTGCGAGACCTGATTGTAGCAATTGTAAAACTAGGTTTAAAATGGAGTGTGGACATTCAAACACAGACTTAGAAATACCAAGTCCACAAGCCTGAGTCCCACAGACATGGGTTTATAATGTAATGTAGACATTAGAGACTGAAGAACCCTAAAAGGCCCAGAGTTCCCAAGTTTTGGAGCTGGGAAAAGAACCACCATTTGGGCAGGGTGTGTGTGTATATATATATATATATATATATATAGTAAGGGGATGAGTGGCAGCAAATGTAACAGTGGGAATAAGATAGGGAAGTTTATTAAAGAGAGAAAACCCAAAATCTAAGATTTCATGAAAACCTGGTTAAACCAAGAAATTAGGAAACTGCTCCTTTTATCCTATTTTGAGGGTGTCAGGTTTGTCACAGACAGACACTGAATCTACAAAGCCACAATCAGTTCTCTCATGTATTGAGGACTGTACTGGAATTGAAAGCTAAGACTTTAAGAGTTGGGGGGGTTTCATGTTTCTCCCTGTAGGCAGTCAGCAGACAGACAGCCTAGAGTAAAGTGGGATTAGTTGTGCTTTGCTGTTTTACGAAGCAGCCTGCCTGTTCTCTCTCTGTTTTGGGGTTCTTGTGAATTATCATTTTGAATTCTTAGAAATAAAGTAGTTTACATTACAACCTTCCAGCAAGAGTATTTATTGTTTATGTTTTTATCTAACTTCTGTGAACATAACAAGTTCCAATGACTCTTGGGTAGACCCAGATCCAGAATCCTACTGTCGCTGCCTAGGAGACCCTATCTGACTTCCCCAGCCAGGATCAGGCAGAACAGACTAAATCCTGGGTCACTCTTTGGAAACCACACCAGAATCTTAGTCCTGTTGTAGCCAGGGGGATTAGTGCAGGTGGTGCAAGATGAGCCCGCAAAAGAAGACTGTACTCAACTCCAACAGTTAGGACAATCTCAGTCCCTCTTCCTTTTTTTGCAGATTGTCTCTGAATTCAAAGTATAAAATGAATGAACAAATCCCAGAGAGACTAGCATCCACTCTGTAAAGCTGCCATTCATTAGCAAGGCAAGAAGAAGGCAGGAGAAGAGTGAAGAAAAAGGGCAGATACTGATTCCTGAAAGAAGCTGAACTTCAAGCCTGCTTCCTAGGTGCTGTCTTAGCTGAACTAACATATGGGAGCAGCTACCAGGGCCTGGAAATGTTCCAAAGAAGTGATAGATATAGTACACAGACTTTATAAGGAGAGTAATAAATGCTACAAAGATAAAATGCTAGGAGGAGATCTCTGTCCCTGTCCATAGTGGAAGGGAGGAAGATGGGGGAGGAAACTAGAGGGAGGCATTCAGGAGAGGGAAAACTTTATCTGAGAGAGCTCAGAAGACAGATATGATTTGAATATGTAATACTGACACCCAGCAGCAGCAGGGACTGAACTCAAGACCTCTAAATCTTAACATGTAAGTGTCTACTGCTCGAGCTAAAAAAATCATCCTCTCTTAACTGAGGCTGTAGCAAGCTCATCAATCTCTATTCGGTCTAGGCACCACTAAAGGGGAACAAAGCACTACACTGAGCAGGCATGACACATAGATCAGTGTTTTTCTCTGTAAGGTGAAGGATCAATCGAGGTGTGTGAAAAGTCTGCCCAAAGTCTCATCTGGTGGGAATGAGATCTGATCCCTGAGTCATCTTAATCAACCCATGAGTATATAATAAATATCAGGAATAACACTGGATAACCTCAAGAATCCATAGTGAAAAATTAGTAAATAATCTAAAAGTATTTATTTGCTAAGAATTATCTGCATAGCCCTACCCAAGTTCTGACACACCTGCATCCCTCAGTCTCCCAGAATTGAAAATTACATATATTAGATACTACTGAGCCTGAAATGTAATATAAACACCAAAGTGCAGATGTGGATCGTGATCAGTAATCATCACATTTACAAATATTTTAAACTATAAAATTTTAGTTCTACTAAGAAAAGAGCTTTACCATAGCAGAGTAATTTTTGATTAAAAATAGACACAATACAACTTTTTTTTAAAAATGGCACTACCAATAATTTTGTGGTGAAATTAACTATATATCCATCTAAATCTACATATATATAAAACTTACCTCAATGTCATATGTGGTCAAGTAATAAAGATTTTCTTGACGAAAATCACACTTGGATCGGTTAATGACTTTTCCATCCCATTTCAAATTGAAAATTTGGAATTTGCCATTTGGTGCATGCCCCTCACACTTAATGTGGACAACATTGTTGTGTGGTTGACTTATACTGATAATCTTCACTGCACCTGGTTCTGTTTATAGAAGAAATGTCACCATTTTGTATTTTAATATTTTGGAATCAAACATTTTAACAGTTATGTTTTTACCCATTTTTCCACTAATTGCTACCTACATGTATCACTGATAGATTTATTATATTTCACCCCCTAATCCTGATTCAGCAAAGTCAATAACACTGCTCATATGCTTAAGTTAAGCATGTGCTTAAGCACTTTGTTGAATTGGTACCTCCACAAACTGGAATAAGACTGTGATAGGAGATTGTTTAATAAGAGAGATCTGCCTGTGATCCTGTTATAACGATACATGGCACAGTAACTGATCCATTTCCTCCTAGTATCATTCTTCATTTGGGAGACTGTTATACAGACAAGATTGTTTCACAGGCAAAGACATTGTGCATGTGAGTTTGATAACTATCATGTATCATAATAATAAATAATACTTGAACGTTCGGTAAATACTGAATTTTATAGGGGTACTTAGAAGAGAATGGCAGCAAGTCTAGTCTGTGGTTTATTACCCTACTTAATATATATTTCACAAAAGGGCCTTTGGGGGGGAGGTTGCTAATGAAAAGTGGCAGAAATCCACATTTTCTATGGATGAAATTCACCCCATTGCAGAGAGCCCATGGAAGATTCTCATTATCATGTAAAACCATTATTCCAGGCATAAGTGCTGTGGAAGGCTTGGTGTAGACCCTTCATCCTGGGGTAAATTTTCCTTAAGGGAGTGCATTTTTATGTAAAGATTATTTCAAAATATATATGAAATAAATCATGAGTATCATCTTTAATCTTCATTTCAATGGAGAACTGATATATGAATTGTATGTAGTCTTCCCAGATAACCCTGAAAGCAGGTAGGTAACTAGGCACACTACTGAAATAGCACTCCAGACATAAGAAGCCTTTCTTGAGGAGGCTTGTTTGGGGGAGAGGGAAGAATGCCATCAGACTGTGTCTTTGCCTACCTCTTAAAGGGAAAATGGTCTCATTAGGTTGTTCTCTCCTTGAGGACATTGTAAGGAGCTGGCAGTCTTTGCTTGAGACATTCCATTTTGTTAGCAGTTGGCAAATATTAAGTGAGTTCTGATGACTAAAAGTAGGTGGCTCTCTACTAAAGCTGGACAACATTTTGTTGCTGAAAAAGTGCAAATTCAGGGAGGAACCTTTATGAGCAGCCAAATTTGTGAAGAAAGTTTGAACTGAACATTGTTCTCCTTCTGTTAATTTCTTTGTTGGACTGGGTTTTATAGCAGGTTGGGAAGTGGACCTCCTCTTAGATAGAAGGCTGCAACAGGGGACTATTTTAATTTGAAGGGAGTTCTGGAACAGAAGGGAGCATTGAACTGAAATACAGGCTTGGAGTTAAAGCCTGAAGGCATAAGGCCGTGGAAGGATCTTTATATGGGATGCTTGGAATGATATACCCAAGAAAAGTTTTAGAGGGGTAGCCGTGTTAGTCTGTATCAGCAAAAACAATGAGGAGTCCTTCTGTCACCTTAGAGACTAACAAATTTATTTGGGTTTAAACTTTCATGGGTTATTACCCACTTCATCAGGCGCATTGAGTGAAAAATACAGTAGGCAGGTATAAATATACAGCACATGAAAAGATTGGAGTTGCCTTACCGAGTGGGGGGTCAGTGCTAATGAGCCCAGTTCAATTAGGGTGGATGTGGCCTATTCCCAACAGTTGACAAGAAGGGGTGAATATCAACAGAGGGGAAATTATTTTTTGTAGTGACCCAGCCACTCCCAGTCTGTATTCAGGCCTAATTTTATGGTGTCAAGTTTGCAAATTAATTCCAGTTCTACAGTTTCTCGCTGAAGTCTGCTTTTTAATTGAATTGGCCTCATTAGCACTGACCCCACACTTGGTAAGGCAACTCCCATCTTTTCATGTGCTGTATATTTATACTGCCTACTGTATTTTTTCTCCATGCATCTGATGAAGTGGGTTTTAGCCCGTGAAAGCTTATGTCTAAATAAATTCGTTAGTCTCTAAGGTGCCACAAGGACTCCTCATTGTTTATGCCCAAGAAAGTAGCTTTGGAGGGATCAGATTTGTTACCTGTTTTGCAATTCTGGCCCGGCTGTCAAATAGCGGAATCAGAATCAGTGACCCCGTAGCCAGTAAACAGACAATGCAAAAGGGCCCAGACAAGACAAAAGGGCCCAAAGTCACCAGATTTAGGGTCAGACCCATACCAGTAAGGCTTAAGGATCAAAGAGTTTTTGGCTTCCTCTAGAGGAATAGACCTGAGGGGGGCATCTACGCGACCAAAGTAGATCTAATAGACAAGATTATCAATGCACCAACTGTTCATTACATTGCCTGCAGCTACTAACTACATCTTGACTTTTCCCTCACTAAATAAGTAAAACTTGATATATAGTAGATGACCCAGAGCCAACATGAAGGCACAGGGACTCCCCAAGGAAGGATGATGTGTATGGTCTGCTGTACAATTGCTGCCCATTTAACACCAAGAAAGACTACTAAACTCTATGATGGGATCCTTGTGCAGCTTTTTTGTCCCCTAGAAATCAGATCCCACATCTCTAGATTCCTATGGTAAGATTTTCATCTCTGCTCTGACCCCTTCATGATAAGTAATGGGGATGGAGTGGCATAAAGGGGTTCTAAAAGTCTTGGATACAGTTGGGGAGGGGGGAGAATTCCCCCATTGCAGGGACTGAGGAAGACAGTTACAGTCTGTTTTTTGAGGATCCCCCTCTCAAGCACTGGGTACTAGGCTTAGAAGACAGCAGGGGCATGTCAGGAATGGGGTTGGGAAAGTAGGGGTGTATTGGAGACATAGCCACAGTGCTGTAGAGATTCTGGGCAGATGCTGTATCCCATAGGCCAGCCCTGGGAGACTGCTGTAACTTAGAAAGGCCTTCTGGAGTATCTATACTATGCCGGTGGCTGCTTGAGTTTGGGGAGCAGCCCATAATTGGAAGGATGCTGAGGTGGTTTAAAAACTTGCCCATGGCATTTAGAAGCACAGTACAGAATATCACCATTAGTCTGTTGCTCTCTGCTCTTTCCAGAAGATCTAAGATTGAGCCTAGATCTTTTAATCTTTTAATTGTTCCTAGTGAGCAGGAGAAAAAGAAATACACCTCTTCAAAGTGTCATAGCAGCAGCAGTGATGTAAAACAGACCGTTCTGCTTGTTTGTTCTCTAAAAGGAAAATTGGTTTCCAGAAATAAATGTAATCTAATTCATTTGAGAACTTTTTGATTAAGATGGAAACTACAGTTAATAAAAGCCGGAGAGAAAAATATTCATATGAACTTTATACCTCTCGTGTTTTTGGATAATGATATGAGTTAAAACTGTGGTCAAGCATGTCATTATTACAAAAAATCAAAGCAGTAGGCTGAGGACTTCAAGCAATATTTCTTCAAGAAGAGGTATTAAAGACAGGTTCCCATTTAACACTTCTGGCTTCAGATGTAAGAGATGCCATAGCAAGCATTAGCAGGACTTTTGCATTATCGCTTTTCATTAGACATTAACATTTATCAAACTAAGAGCAGAAGGATGAAGAGAAAAGGCAGAAAGAAAGCAAAGGGAAGAGAAAGAGATTCCAGAACCGGAAAAGCTTGAAAGAAACCATAGTACATAAAAAGAAGATCCTGAGCTTTATGATGAGATGTGGGAATGGCTTGGAACTTTTAAACAATGATGGGAACAATGATGGGAACATCAATATATTCAAGACACCAGCAACAACCAGGTCATGTTGTTCTTCTCTGATTAGGGTTAGGTGACACAAAGGTTTAAAACACCTCTCATCAATCTACTCTAGCACTTACAGCATAGCTGCCGGAGGTGGTAGTGAACTGGCAGTGGCAATGGTGGGAAACTTTTGAAAACAATTCCTTTTGTAGACCCAGTCTAAAATATTGATGGAAAAGGACAGACAAACGGGAAAAGGTTGATACCTTGAAAGTAGAGAAGGGGTTAAAAAAATAGAGAAATACCATGGAAGTAGAGCTTGAGCCCTACACTGAGAGGGGCAAGGTCAAATAATCCAATCTAGCTAAATGTGACTATTCACAGGATACAATTTTATTTCATTTTTACTGGCATTGTGGTGCTGTAAGTAAATATATTTGATATGCTTTTTTAAAACCTATATTTGCATTTTGTGTTAAACTTAAAAGTTCAAATGTGAAAAAACCTTAAAGTTCATCAGTGCAATAGGTATGAAAGAACTTTTAAAATGTCAGTGTTAAACAACATAATATAAAGAACATGGTATCAATACTATGTGCTGAAAGCTTGGTAAGAACTAAACATAAGATGTGAATATTAACACAAACAGTCTGAACCAAAATTTTCAATTTATTGTAAATTGAGTAGAGTAATAAATTCATAACTAGTGATTCAAGTGACAATGAGACTGGTTGCATTCACATATTAACTCTTTGTATTTCCCAGAGAAATAAATAAATAAACTTACTTGATGAATTTGTGTATCCCCAATAAAACAAAGGTTCTACACTACATTCTGGTCGTCCCTTCTTCGTATTGGTGTATGTGTTAACTGACACATTATATTTTGTGTAAGGACGAAATCCTGTACAGTTATAAGAAGTGTTGTTACCAACATCCTTTCCTATTTAAAAAAAAAGGAAAGATTAAATTAGCATTTCATACTTTGAACATAGGAACTGGTATATTGTATCAAAGTCAATATTCCTGTCTCCAAAGGATGGCCAGTAAAGGTGCAAGAACCCCTGAAATGGACAGTTAAACTGGCCAGAGGGGTAATTGTTCCTGGCCACACCCACCCACACAGTATTAAAAGTACCAAGCAAAAGTTAGGAAATGCCAGAATTAAGGTTGCCAATGAAACCTTAATTAGACCCCCTCATGTGTATGCTTCATGATGGGGTTAAATTATATCACAGACTACTTTTTTCCACGGGACCCCTGCCTTATTCAATGGATGGGTTGCTATTAAATATTAATTTTATCCTCCATGTTCAACAGGTGGTCCCAGGCCTTATTTAACACACGAGTCAATTCCTGCGCTGATTACACAATTATTCAAAGATGTTTCTATGGTACTCCCATCACAGTATCTGAGGGCTTCATAAATGTTGATGAATTTATCTACCTTGTAAGATTAGGTGGTATTATTATCCCTGTTTTAGAGCTGGAGATTGAGGCACAGATCAATTAAGGCCAAAATTGTCAAGTGTGCATTTATTCTTGGTGCTCAACTTGAAAAACCTAGGGATTGATCTTTCAGAGTATTTAGCATTTGTATAGCAGTTTATATTTTCAAAGGACAAGCTACCATTGACTTCAGTTGTAATTATGAACACTCACCGCTTCCGCACATCTAGCCATACGGTGTCTCATGTTGGGCAGTCAGAAAATGAGGAACACACAATTAGGGGCTGCCTATGAAAAGTTTGGTTTAAGTGACTTAACCAGTATCACAGGAACTCTCTGGCTGAGGCAGGGATAGAATCCGATTCTCTAGGATGGTGTTCAACATCCTTAACTGAGAGGCAACCTTTTCTCCTGCAGTTTTATGCCTTTTTGTCACACATCTTCCAACTTCTACTACCAGTGATGCAGGGGTCCTGCACACAACAGTCTCCTTCACTACACAGCATTGATTCAGTTCAACAGCATCATCTGTCCCGTGCACTGAATGAGGTAGGGGTCCCAACAAATTAGTGTGTGATCATATAATTAAAGACAGTGTAATAATGCATATGCACAAGGGATCTGAATTAAGATTGCACAGGCAATCTTAATTTCACCATTCCTTAACTTGTGATTTATTGACTTTGCAACCCTAACATTCTTTTAGCATTGTTTTTAATGTAATTTCTGAATTTTTAAATACTCTTAAAAAACAAAAATTCCATCATGTGGAACCATAATCGCCCCCAACTGAGGAGATCAGCATGGTAGCTCACGAAAGCTCATGCTCAAATAAATTGGTTAGTCTCTAAGGTGCCACAAGTACTCCTTTTCTTTTTGCGAATACAGACTAACACGGCTGTTCCTCTGAAACCTTTAGATCTACAGCACAGACTTGAACTAATGTATCACTTGACCTTGAACTAATGGCATAACTGGTAGCAGTCATGGCTGTTATCCGCTATGTGGCCCAGGCAATCAAAGGAGAATGACACACACACTTTGCCAGTTGGTTTCACAGCTATTTGCTGACAGTAGAGGAATAGAGAGACTCAGGACTCCTAGGTTCAGTTTCAGGTTCTGTAAAGGGAATGCTCTCCAGTGATTACATATCTTTAGTCCCCTATTCCCTGTTTTATTAATTTTGATGTAATTTGTTCTTTGTTTTTTTTAAAAAAATGTAGGAGAAAAATACATTAAAATAAAGTTAAGGTTTCAAAGTCAAGCACTCAGAAGTTAGAAAATGAAACCTCAATTCTCCCCCCTCCTGTATATGCATTATGACACAGTGTTTAATTACATAAGGACATACTATATTTTCCACAGGACGCCTGCCTCCTTCAGGTCACAGGATGAATCTGCTCTGGGGATAAATCAGGGCTGTGTAGTAAAGGAGACTGTGTAGGACCTCTGCCTCATTTGTTAGAGAAGCTGGAAGGTGTGTAGTGAATTAAGCAAGTAAGAGAAGGGATGTTCTCATGCTTAAGGCAGTTAAGGATGTGTGATCTGAACATATAAAATGGTATAAAAATGTTAAGTGTGCTGAAGAATTAAGCTCTAGGCATCTCAAATTGGTATTCCCAAATTAGTAGACATTTTTGACAATTTTAGCCTTAATTTCTATGTGCCTCAGTTCCACATATGTAAAATGGGGATAATAATACCACCTCCCTACCTGAGGGGTGTTATGAAAATAAATTAATGTTTTTCAAGCACTCAGATACGAATGTGATGAGCACAATAGAGAAGCTCACAAGGAAATTAAAAATTCTCTGTGTAGTATACAATTTGAATACTATTCAGTAAACAATGCATTGAGCCACACACTGAATGATGAAGATAAAAAGAAATAATGAATAGTTAACTATTCAGTGAGCACCATCTACACTATTTACTGAATGAGGCCTGGGGAAAAAGTATGATCATGTCAGCAAAGACTGTATCTTAATGCATTTGCCCACCAGGGCTGAATTAAGGTTGCATCGATAATCTTAATTCTCGCATTTCCTATATTTTGAGCGCTTGACTTTGCATCCTGAATGTTCTTGTAATGTAGGTTTTTTTGTTTGTTTTTGTGTAATTTTATATAAGTGACCGGACATGGAAGCATAACCTGTAGCTGCTTGGTTCTCCTGCTTTTAGTCTAAGGAATATAGCTTGTTTTGTACAGTGTCTGGCTAACTACTTGCCTGGATTAAACAGTATGGAATGATTATTAAAAAAGTATGTGTTATTTCTTCTAGTGTGCATTACCTTGCATTTGCCAGCACTGAATTTCATCTGCTTCTCTCTTGCCTATATCTAAAATTCCTTAGTCTTCTCTAGTCTTGACTACCTAAATAATTTCGGGACATTGGCTGTCACTTCACCGTTCATCCCCTTTCCCAGATCATTAGTGAATATAAACAATTCTGGTCCAAAAACAGATCTTTAGCACACCACACTGTTAATCTTTACCATTACGTTGAAAATTGGCCATGTTTTCTTCTCTTTGTTTTCTGTATTTGAGCCAAATATAATTCATGACAGTATATTATTTCTTATCCCATGACTATTCAGTTTCCTTAACTCTCTTTAATTGTTTTAACCACTTTCCCCTGTACTGTAGGCTTCCTGGTCAGTAATTCTCAGACTCAGCCCTACAACCATTAAAAAAAATAAAAATAAAAAGATACTCACAACATTTCCTCCCCTCCCCTTCTGGAATATAGTAGTTGATTATAATGAGAGATTGGACATTTTTGGTAACAACTCTTTCCCACTTTACTCCTATATTTCTTCAGAGATCTTAGATGTGTAACATCCAGTGCTGATGATTAGTAGCTATGTAGTATATCTGTTTTTTTCAATCACCTTCTCTTTAGACACTTCAATTGCTGCATCCAATGAAGTGAGCTGTAGCTCACGAAAGCTCATGCTCAAATAAATTGGTTAGTCTCTAAGGTGCCACAAGTACTCCTTTTCTTTTTTCAATTGCTGGCTATCCCTCATTTTTACTGCCTGGAGAAATTTCTTATTAGAGTTTGCCAGTAGGTGTTGCTTAGTCAAAGCTATGTTCTGGATAGGTCAGTTCAGTTTTTGATGGTGTTACAGCCATCTACCAGCTCTCAGCCATGAATAAGCAGAACCTCACCACTACAAAGAGGAGGTTCTCTCTGCCCCTTATTGTAAAAGGGAAAAACAAAATGGAAATAAGGAAAAAACTTTGGCTGAGATTCTGTGCTGCACCTCCAGGAGGCACAGCACAGGTGCAGCCCATGGAGGGCAGGGAAAAGGTGTCTTAAAGTCACCTTGCTCCTTTCTCAGGGCTGCTCTGGGGCCCGGTGCAGCCTCCAGTATGTTTATAGCCCCTTATGCATCAACCAGCAGTTTAAAGGGGCTATAGCAGGAGGAGAAATCCTTCCCTTTCAAAAAAACAATACAATCAAAAATTGTTTGTTCTGCCCTATTTTCCTTCCTCCTCCATTTAAAATAATGGATTTAGATGGGGTTTCCTTTTAAACTAGCACAGAGTATGCCTGGAAAGGCAGACAGAGGGTGAAGTGTTCACCAGTTCCTTTGCCAGTCATTTGGCTTCCCCCACATGCCTTGCACGTCACTTCTTCCCTTCTCTCCTCAATCTTAAGAAAATGAACTGGGAGTTTTAAACCAGCTCCCCAATTCAGGAGTGCCATCAATGGGACTTCAAAGGAAAACCACCACGTCCTCTCCCAACCTAGCTAATTCATTTAATAAATGGCTGAGTTGCATTAGTTAAACCATAAGCCCCTTGAAGCAGGAATCATCTTTTTTACATGTGTTTTCACAGTAACTGATGCAATGGGGCCCTGATCCATGACTAAGGTTCCTAGACACTACCACAATACTACTAATAAATAATAACTAAACTGAAGTTTAGGGTTGGGACCTGAACTGGAAACTGATACCTTGTCAGGTTCAATTTCTCAAAAATGGAAAGTATAAATGCTGGCAGGCAAGCAGAGTCTGACAGGTATAATCAAGCCACCCTGACCATATAACTTCTGAGCAAACCCTACTAATTCTGTTACAGTGGGGTTCCTTTGAAAGTTCTGGGTGTCCGTACCTCCAAGTCCATCCATCCATTCTCTTGTTCATCCCAGAATCATCCATATTCCTCCTTCCCCTCCATTATTCCAACATCAAAATTCATTCTTTCTCCCCCCTGCCAAAATTTTCTTTTTCTAACTTGGATCTCAGTGTTTGGATCCAGCCTCCCAAATTCACAATAAATGTAGGCTGCCGCCACAGCGGGTTCACTTGAGACAGAGGCTGGTGTTAGGATGACCCATATGTTTCTGTTAGACCGTTGGCTGCAAATGGGCTAGCCCACCTGGGTGCACTGCAGAGGTATTTCTTGAAATGGGAAGAGGCCGCATGAGCTTGTAGTGGCAGCAGACAGGACCAGAACGAATTTCAGGAGGGAAACAAATGATCTAGCAGTTAAGCAGGAGCTTTGAGACTGTGTAGTCTTGTGGACATGGCCTTTCCCTCTGATGAAATAACAGCCAGAGCCCTTATTAGCTATTTCAAATACATATTCTCATGTAGTGCCTGGGTCTGGGAGCAGACCAGATGTCCAGGCAGTTCAAGAAACTGGCACAGTTGCTTGTTGGCCTACTCTAGTCCTGGAGAGAATTAGAGTAGATGAACAACATAGCCTTTGGCTGCCTTTCTACTCAAAACCTATATCATTATAAAAGAAAAGAAGCAGAAATCTTAAACCAGTCATGCTAATTGCAGGTGAGAGGGGATTGAGGGACAAGGAAAATAACAAAAAAAAATGTCTCTAATATTTTCCTTATTTTTCCTTTATCTTCCTCCTATACATGATTTTTCATAATGGGATGAAACATTACCTATCCTCTTCCAACAAGGATCTCTTAATTTTTTTAAATTATACTTTTAAGTCATACTCTAGTAGGAATAAGCCACTCCAGAATATTCATTAGTTGATTACTGATGCACTCTACCTTCAGCACACTGCTTACAACTGACCCAAGATGGGCCCCAATAGCCTGTTAGTGGATACTGTTGTTTTGTCCTATTGCTAAATTCCTTGACTTTCTCAGAATACATGATAACTGGCTGTGGTGAAACTAGTCCACTGAGCTCGACCATGAAAATCTTCATCATATAAAAAATAAATTACATGATTGAACTGATATAATATCAAAGGAAAAAAACCTTTTTAGAGACGTGATTGTGCAGGTAAACTATTATGGGTGTTATGGTAGTGTCTAGAGGCCCCATTGTGCTAGGCACTGTACATAATGTAGAAATCCATCTCTGTTACGTGGCAAATATCAAAGAAAAATATACTTGCCTTCACTGTCCTCATAACATTTCACTATATAGCCATCAATAGGGCCATTTGTTTTTTTTGATGGTGCTTTCCAATTGAATGATACACTTCCAGAAGTTGTGGTTACTGGATCAAGAGGTTCAGGTTTCTCTGGTTCTGTAACACAAAATGAAGGGAGAGGGAATAACACTGTTTTAATGCAGAAAATATTTTTCAAATTATAAAAGCTCAGCAAATTTGAAATGAAAAATATGTATTATACACCAGCATTTGAAAAATACTTGCTGCAATTAAGATTTTATTGCATATTAGTGCAAGACACTAGCAGGAGATAGAGTTGTGAATAATAATGCACACGATTTATTGAACTCTAACCCATTTTACACAAATATAGTGCATACATAAGCTGTAGAAACTGCATAATTTAAAATGCAAACAATGACAACTCAGAGAATAAGCATGAATTTTTGGAATCATCACTATAGTGTGGCAAAATATTAAAGAAATAGGACCAACTGGAGCAGTAGTTTGTGTGGGTGACTGACCTGAGCAAAAAGTACATAAATTAAAATCACATAAAAAGTACAAAGAAAAGGAGTACTTGTGGCACCTTAGAGACTAACAAATTTATTTGAGCATGAGCTTTCGTGAGCTACAGCTCACTTCATCGGATGCATTCAGTGGAAAATACAGTGGGGAGATTTATATACATAGAGAACATGAAGCAATGGGTGTTACCATACACACTGTAACCAGAGTGATCGCTTAAGGTGAGCTATTACCAGCAGGAGAGCGGGGGGGAAAAAACCTTTTGTAGTGATAATCAAGGTGGGCCATTTCCAGCAGTTGACAAGAACGTCTGAGGAACAGTGGAGGGTGGGGGGGGAATAAACATGGGGAAATAGTTTTACTTTGTGTAATGACCCGTCCACTCCCAGTCTCTATTCAAGCCTAAGTTAATTGTATCCAGTTTGCAAATTAATTCCAATTCAGCAGTCTCTCGTTGGAGTCTGTTTCTGAAGTTTTTTTGTTGAAGAATTGCAACTTTTAGGTCTGTAATCGAGTGACCAGAGAATCGGTCGGAATACGAACAAGAGGCTGCTAGGCAGCTCTCCAACATCACTTTCTACAAGCCATTACCCTCTGATCCCACTGAGGGTTACCAAAAGAAACTACACCATTTGCTTAAGAAACTCCCTGAAAAAGCACAAGAACAAATCCGCACAGACACACCCCTGGAACCGCGACCTGGGGTATTCTATCTGCTACCCAAGATCTATAAACCTGGAAATCCTGGACACCCCATCATCTCAGGCATTGGCATCCTGACAGCAGGATTGTCTGGCTATGTGGACTCCCTTCTCAGGCCCTACGCTCCCAGCACTCCCAGCTATCTTCAGAGGGTAATGGCTTGTAGAAAGGTTTCAGAGTAACAGCCGTGTTAGTCTGTATTCGCAAAAAGAAAAGGAGTACTTGTGGCACCTTGATTATCATACACATTGTAAGGAGAGTGGTCACTTTAGATAAGCTATTACCAGCAGGAGAGTGAGTTTGTGTGTGTGGGGGGGGGGGTGAGAAAACCTGGATTTGTGCTGGAAATGGCCCAACTTGATTATCATACATGTTGTAAGGAGAGTGATCACTTTATATAAGCTATTACCAGCAGGAGAGTGGGGTGGGAGGAGGTATTTTTTCATGCTTTTTGTGTGTATATAATAAGATCTTCTGCACTTTCCACAGTATGCATCCGATGAAGTGAGCTGTAGCTCACAAAAGCTTATGCTCAAATAAATTGGTTAGTCTCTAAGGTGCCACAAGTACTCCTTTTCTTTTTGGCTTGTAGAAAGTCGTGTTGGAAAGCTGCCTAGCAGCCTCTTGTTCATATTCTGACCTGTTCATATTCCGACCTATTCATGATGATGACAGCACCTCCTTTGTCAGCCCTCTACACCAACATTCCACACAAAGATGGACTACAAGCCCGTCAGGAACGGTATCCACGATAATGTCACGGCAAACCTGGTAGCTGAACTTTGTGACTTTGTCTTCACCCATAACTATTTCACATTTGGGGACAATGTATACCTTCAAATCAGCGGCACTGCTATGGGTACCTGCATGGCCCCACAGTATGCCAACATTTTTATGGCTGACTTAGACCAATGCTTCCTCAGCTCTCGTCCCCTAACGCCCCTACTCTACTTGCGCTACATTGATGACACCTTCATCCTCTGGACCCATGGAAAAGAAGCCCTTGAGGAATTCCACCATGATTTCAACAATTTCCATCCCACCATCAACCTCAGCCTGGACCAGTCCACACAAGAGATCCACTTCCTGGACACTACGGTGCTAATAAGTGACGGTCACATAAACACCACCCTATACTGGAAACCTACTGACCGCTATTCCTACCTACATGCCTCCAGCTTTCATCCAGACCACACCACACGATCCATTGTCTACAGCCAAGCTCTATGATACAACTGCATTTGCTCCAACCCCTCAGACAGAGAGAAACACTGACAAGATCTCTATCAAGCATTCATACAACTACAATACCACCTGCTGAAGTGAAGAAACAGATTGACAGAGCCAGAAGAGTACCCAGAAGTCACCTACTACAGGACAGGCCTAACAAAGAAAATAACAGAATGCCACTAGCCATCACCTTCAGCCCCCAACTAAAACCTCTCCAATACATCATCAAGGATCTACAACCTATCCTGAAGGACAACCCATCACTCTCACAGATCTTGGGAGACAGGCCAGTCCTTGCTTACAGACAGCCCCCCCAACCTGAAGCAAATACTCACCAGCAACCACATACCACACAACAGAACCACTAACCCAGGAACCTATCCTTGCAACAAACCCCGTTGCCAACTGTGTCCACATATCTATTCAGGGGACACCATCAAGGGGCCTAATAACATCAGCCACACTATCAGAGGCTCGTTCACCTGCACATCCACCAATGTGATATATGCCATCATGTGCCAGCAATGCCCCTCTGCCATGTACATTGGTCAAACTGGACAGCCTCTATGTAAAAGAATAAATGGACACAAATCAGATGTCAAGAATTATAACATTCATAAACCAGTCGGAGAACACTTCAGTCTCTCTGGTCATGCAATCACAGACATGAAGGTCGCTATCTTACAACAAAAAAACTTCAAATCCAGACTCCAGCGAGAAACTGCTGAATTGGAATTCATTTGCAAATTGGATACTATTAATTTAGGCTTAAATAGAGACTGGGAGTGGCTAAGTTATTATGCAAGGTAGCCTATTTCCCCTTGTTTTTTTCTACCGCCCGCCATCCCCCCACCCCCCGACGTTCTGGTTAAACTTGGATTTATGCTGGAAATGGCCCAACTTGATTATCATGCACATTGTAAGGAGAATGGTCAGTTTGGATGAGCTATTGCCAGCAGGAGAGTGAGTTTGTGTGTGGGGGGGGAGAAAACCTGGATTTGTGCTGGAAATGGCCCACCTTGATTATCATGCACATTGTAGGGAGAGTGGTCACTTTGGATGAACTATTACCAGCAGGAGAGTGAGTTTGTGTGTGTATGGGGGTGGGGGGGGTGAGAAAACCTGTATTTGTGCTAGAAATGGCCCACCTTGATTATCATGCACATTGTAGGGAGAGTGGTCACTTTGGATGAGCTATTACCAGCAGGAGAGTGAGTTTGTGTGTGTGGTTTTTGGATTTGTGCTGGACATGGCCCAACTTGATGATCACTTTAGATAAACTAGTACCAGCAGGAGAGTGGGGTGGGAGGAGGTATTGTTTCATGGTCTCTGTGTATATAATGTCTTCTTCAGTTTCCACGGTATGCATCCGATGAAGTGAGCTGTAGCTCACGAAAGCTCATGCTCAAATAAATTGGTTAGTCTCTAAGGTGCCACAAGTACTCCTTTTCTTTTTGCGAATACAGACTAACACGGCTGTTACTCTGAAACCTATAAAAAGTAAAGCAATTTAAAATAACTGAGAATAAAAAAGTAGCTGAAATTACAAAAATCATTGGATGATGTGAGTATTCTTGTGTTCAGTTGGAACTTGGCTTTTTGAGCAAATTTTGCCCATTGTAATTATATTAGGTAATGCGAGTATAAAGAATTTATACCTATGGGTATGTCTACACTATGAAATTAGGTCGAATTTATGGAAGTTGGTTTTTTAGAAATCGTTTTTTGTCAATTGTGTGTGTCCCCACACAAAATGCTCTAAGTGCATTAAGTGCATTAACTTGGCGGAGTGCTTCCACAGCACCGAGGCTACTGTCAACTTCCGGAGTGTTGCACTGTGGGTAGCTATCCCACAGTTCCCGCAGGCTCCACTGCCCATTGGAATTCTGGGTTGAGATCCCAATTCCTGATGGGGCAAAAAACATTGTCACGGGTGGTTCTGGGTACATGTCATCAGGCCCTCCTTCCCTCCCTCCCTCCCTCTGTGAAAGCAACGGCAGACAATCGTTTCGCGCCTTTTTTCCTGAATTACCTGTGCAGACAAGGCAAGGCAGACATACCACAGCAAGCATGGAGACCGCTCAGCTCACTGTCACCGTATGTTTCCTGGGTGCTGGCAGACGCGGTACTGCATTGCTACACAGCAGCAGCAACCCATTGCCTTGTGGCAGCAGACGGTACAATAAGACTGGTAGCCGTCATCGTCATGTCTGAGGTGCTCCTGGCCGCATCAGTCAGGAGCGCCTGGGCAGACATGGGTGCAGGGACTACATTAGGAGTGACTCGACCAGGTCACTCTCTTTAGTCCTGAAGGCAGTCCTATTGTACCATCTTATGGTGAGCAGGCAGGAAATATGGATGGCTAGCAGTCCTATTGTACCATCTTTTGCCGGGCAGGCAGGAGATGAGGATGGCTAGCAGTCCTATTGTACCATCTTCTGCCGAGCAGCCAAGAGATGTGGATGGCTTGCAGTCCTTCTGCACCGTCTGCTGCCAGCCAAAGATGTAAAAGATAGATGGAATGGATCAAAACAAGAAATAGACCAGATTTGTTTTGTATTCATTTGCTCCCACCTCCCTCCATGAAGTCCCACCTGAAATACGAGAGGGAGGGATAGCTTAGTGGGTTGAGCATTGGCCTGCTAAACCCAGGGTTTTGAGTTCAATCCTTGAGG